GCCATGCACCAGGGGTCAGCAATCTATGGGGCAGTGCCAAAAATGACACGTGAGATGATTTTCACTGGCACGTGGGCCTCCCTGCTGGATCTACACCGACCATACGTCTTGGAAAGCCCCGCTGGACATTTCACTACTTGTGAGGAAGAAGTGACAGAGAAATGGCTCCGTGCACTGCCACTGCTCCTTGTTTGGTACAGCAGCCTCCCTCCACTCCCTCACCCCCCATAGAGGATGTAGGTGGTGGGCAGCCAGGCCAGCTTCTGGGGGTATGCAGTTTCTGGCCACTCTGCCACCCTCTGCCCCACCACCTTGCGCTGCACAGCCCTCCTCCCTCCCCCCGTGGGACTGCCTCTGGCACATGGGGCCCTCGGTCCGGCCTCACTGCTTCCTCCTCCTCCGGGCTGCTTGTTGGTACAGTGACCGCTGCCGCAGGGGCAGGGGCAGGGGCTGGCCAGCTCCAAGGTAAAACCCGACATAGCCACCCCTGGATCTCTGCACCGTGGAGCTGCCAGTGAGTGGAGTGGGTGGCATGGAGCCAAACGCATGGGCCTGCGCCAAGATGCTTCATGTGGCCAAGGAGGCCTTTTGCAGTGGCAACTTCAAGCTGGTGGCTGAGATCTACAGCGTGTAGCTGGCCGAGCTGCCGCAGCCTGCATGAGGTCTCTGCCTGTACCAGGGGGTGCGCTGACCCATGCTGGCCACATAGGCAAAGCCCTGGAGGCCTATAGCATCACCACCCAGCTGGCCCGCCTGTGGCCCAAGGAGCTACGGGTGCAGGCTGAAAAAGCCTGCGTAAGAAGACACTGCCAATGGGAACAGCGGGGGCAGTGCTTATGAACAACGGGGGTATGAAGCCAGGTAAGCGTCCCTCTTCACACCCAGACCCCTGCACTGCAATCTTCCCTTACTCAACTCCTGTCCCTCTTCCAAGATCCTGCACCCTCAGCTTGCTCCTACACCCTCCCTTGCTCCTGCACCAGACACCCTACTTCCAGCCCTCTTCTGCACCCCAACTCCTATACAGACCTTGCACCCTCAGTCCCTCCTGCCCACCACCTCCTGCCCAGTCACAAGGTTTTTTTTGGGGGGTGGGATGGGGTGGATTTTTTGCTTCTCTCTTGTGTGGTCCCCAACTTTTTTTTTCCTGAGTCAGTGACCCCTAATGTAAAAAAGAGATTCCTCACCCCCTGCCATAAAGAAAGAAAACACTGAAACCTTTTGTGTTGGACATAAATTAATATTTTGCTTTACTTAAAATGAAGTTTGATACGCTAACACGAGAAAGTTGAAACCCTTAATCTGTTTAATATTTAAATTAGACCATTCTCCCTAGCTGCAGCACTTGCAAAATTGCTCGGGTGTAATTATATACATAATTAACAATGAGTTTCCATTAGCAACTGGTGGTCCACAGAAAGGTTTTCATTGACCCAGGGGGTGCATGGTGGAGAGAGCCCTCCCCTCCCTTCCCAGGAGAATGGCATGGCTCAGGGCAGGCAGGTTAAATCTTGGCATGCCACTTCGGAAAGGTTGCCAACCCCTGCCATACACTGTTTTTAGGAAGGTGCTGGCTGTTTAAAAAGACCCCATGGAACTCTGCAAGCTATGTACCTTCAGTTTTTTCTTCTACCCAGGTGTTTATATGTTTTCTGGAATCTTCAGGAGCTCCAGAGAAGTCAAGTGGTTCTAGCTCTGCATGGTAGAATTTCTGGCTGGCGTCTATAAATGTCTAAAACAAGCAAAGGAGAATGTCTTAACAGTATATTTTTCGGGTTTGGAGCTGTAGAAGAATCACGCAGAATCTACTTCTTCCTTCCCACCTCTTCAGGAGTCTTAATATCAAAGTATTGTCACTTCTTTTCAAATTGAGCATTTTATTTTCTGTTATTACACTTTTAGTTCAAGCAGCCGGCTTATTGAGAGATCAACACGACAGCATGGTGAAAGTGATGCAATTAATTTGCTTTGGTTTGAGAACATAAGCCTTTGTAAATTGGACGCTAGATAAAGTTTTTCCTTATCCTCTCAGAGTAACTGAAACCCTCCCAGAGGAACTGAAACCTGATCTAGTTCACAAGTGAAAGCTGGGGAAGGGGTAACTTCTTTATCTTTTTGTAGAGTATGTGTGGATCATAAAACACAGCTTTTCAGCCTTATGAAAAGTCAGTAATTGTGTGGTCAGGTCAAAGTCATGCGTTCTCTCACTCTCTCTCTAATTTGTATTTCAGAGACTTTTGCTTTAGGAAAAAATGCCAGAGATCCCGTGTTTAAATATTTAATCAGTCGTTTGAAGACCTACCAACAGATGGGGACAAATGGGGGTAATTGCCCCAGGGGGCCACAATTCTATAGGTCCCTGAGCTCCTAGCCACTCTCCCAGGCCCTTTAAATTTCCACTGGGAGTGCTGCATGGTGTGCTCCAGAACCCAGTGCTATGCATCCTAAGTTACTCAGAGGGTTGATTGGAGGTGGGGTGAAGACAGCATGATCTGGGTGGTACTGGGGGATGGCTGCCCAAGACCACAACCTGTCTGGGAGCACAGAATCCTCCCAAATTGCCTAGGGGCCCAGTCATCCTATCGACCCTCCTGGTTGTTTTAACTTTAATTGAGAAGAACTCTTGATCTGAGCCAGTTTATGCTAGTTATCCCTTTTGGTAATAAAAGTATTGTAGACTGGAGAACAAAAACAGCCATGCTGGGTCAAAACAATGATCCGTCTAGCCCAGTAACCTGTCTTCCTACAGTGGTCAATGCCAGGTGCCCCAGAGGACATGAACAGAACAGACAATCAACGAGTGATCCATCCCTTGACACTCCTTCCTAGCTCTGACAAGCAGAGCCTAGGACACCATCATCCCTGTCCATCCTGGCTAATAGCTACTGATGGACCTATCCTCCATGAATTTATCTAGTTATTTTTTGAACCTTGTTATAGTGTTGGCTTTCACAACAGCCGCTGGCAAGGAATTCCACAGATTGACTGTGTGCTGTGTGAAGAAATACTTCCTTTTAAAACCTGCTGTCTATTGATTTCATTTGGAGACTCCTAGTTCTTGTGTTGTGAGGAATAAATAACTTTTCCTTATTTACTTTCTTTATTTCATCTGTACATGGTAGTCAAGATGAGAGTTTACTATGGATTTACGCACAGACACTAGATTTATAGAGAGATAATATGATATTTTCTGTCTTTTTATGTATCCCTGTCTTCATAATTTCTGTTTAACTAACTTCCTCATTTTGTGTAGTTCCCACTTTCTGAAATAAAATATGTTTGACTTACTGTAAGAAACTGGTATGTCTTTTCCCCATACAGCCGGTTAGCCATTCTAAGCAAATAATTAAGGCCTGGTTTGTTAATTTCAGAAATAAGTGACTGATACCCATCATGAATATCTTCAGGTTTGACCAAAGAAAGCACCTGTAGAAAGAGAAAGATATACACTCAGCATGACCCACATGTGTGAAACGCGCACTTTGGAAGAGGTCAGTACAATGCCTTTCGGCGCTTAAGAGAGGAAAGCTGCATCCTGGACACCCAAGTCAGCCCTAAAAGGAGAAGGATTTCCTAGATTTAGTGAATTTTAAGTAGTTTCAGTTCCCATATGTATCTCTATATCCCCAAGTGGGGTTTTGTAGCTGTATAGTTGCTTTTTAAAAACTTGTTTCACTGAGAGAGTCTGACAAACAAGGAAAAGGTCTCTATTTAGAACAAACAATGTAACACAAAGTGCTGTCAAAGGCACAAGTATACAAACTGGGGGGGGGGGGGAACGTCCCCCATTTTCCCCGAGCTTAAGTGTTGCTTGTAGTACTGTCATGATCATGACGGATGGCCAGCAGCCTGGGGACTAAAGAGTTAACTGTACCTCGCCAGGTAGCAGTCAGCCAATAGAAATGCAGATAGGGATTTTCAAACCGAGACAAAGGAATGTTTGGGTTTTCCCTCCTTTGTCTCTGGGCAGTTGCTCTCTAGATACTGATGTGGGACAGACAACATGTCCCTCTCCAAGAAAAGACTCTTCATCTGTAAGTAGGGCAAAGTCTAGATAAATCCGTTAGGTTTTATTGTTTTATGGTTTGGCACTGTGGATTTGATGTTTGTGTATTTAGCTTACCCTTCTGTGTTCCTCTCCCTAAGGCAGCCACAGAAAACAAAAGAAAAGAGAAAAAACCCTGCAAAGCTTGCAACTCAAAAGAAAAACCTGTGTCCTTTTAAAAATCCTGGGTTCTCAAAATGATCCCATCGTGTTGCCACCATCAAATGTTTTTGAACCCACAAACGGGTGCACACTTGAAACCAACCCCAGGGTACCCCATGCTCTTTTCCCCAAGGAGCTTGAAAAATAAAAGAGAAAATACAAACTGCAGTCTGTGGCTGCTATCCCCTAGTAAGAGACATGCAGATCCTATAGACATAGGACACAGAACTGAACCAATACCAGGTTAATACAAAAAAGAAAATGAACTTTTATCATCACAACAATACTCCTGTTACAAGCATAGTTGGACTGGCTAGATGGTAAGAGCCACCCATTAATAAACTCACGGGGAATTTTCCCAAGGGAACAAAACTTAGTTACAAACTAAGGAAAACCCATTTCTAAATGCACAGACATCAGATCCACAGTCCGGGGCCGGCATGAGCCAGGATTAAGGAGTCCTGGCTAGTGCCAGTCCCAGTAACCACACTGCGGCTCTGCAGTTTAAATGTAGTAGATTCCAGAGCCGCAGCAGGGCTAGTGAGCACCGCCTCCCCCTACTGACTACTTGATTAGCTAATTAATCGCAGCTTAACATCACTAGAGCAGGCTGAACTCTGCTTTCCTTTACTCAGATGTAAATGTGCCAATTCCACTGAAGTCTAATAATTACTCCAGTTTTACACCAATATAAACAACAGAATTTGTGTTGGTATTTATTTAAACATGCCTTGTATCACAGCTTTAAATTTATCTTCAGTTTGAATTCATGTGACACTAAATAAGATTGATTTTAAAAAAATATGACTTCCTAGCTATGACTGTGGACAGCTATAAATCTAGTTTTGAAACATGTAATTCCAACCCTGGACACCTAGCAGACTATATTAAAAATACACAAGTTAAAAGGATACGTAGCTGCAACACAGAATTCCTTCTTTCTAACAGCCTCTTTGCAGTCAGATCTCAGGGCCTCAACTCCATCCTCATCTTCCCTGACTCCTGACGATTTTGCCACTATGGATCACTCTCCTTTTCTAAATCTTGTTCACTCTTAGCATTTGTGACTTTGTCTCCTCTTACATGTTTGCACGATCATTCCTTGGGACCTCAGAGCTCCCTATTTTGTACTAAACTCTTCTTCCCTCAGGCCTTTCTTTCTCATTAGAGGTTATGAGTTCTTATTGGAGCAGGATTTGGCATTAAAAGTTAAATGAACTCAGCCTATATTTTCAAAAGCTATGAGGCCTAGTCTACACTAGGGTTATGTCTAGACTGCCCCCTGTTGTGCAAACAAATATGCAAATGAGGAATATCGCCATGCCTCATTTGCATAATTAACGAGGCTCCATTTTTTGCACAAGAGGCTTTTGCGCAAGAGCTGTTCTTCCTGAAAAAAGAGGAAGAATGGCTCTCGCACAAGAGGGGGGTTTTGTGCAAAAAGGAGCCGTATAGACAGCTCCTTTTTGTGCTAAAGCCTCTTGTGCAAAAACAGAGCCTCATTAATTATGCAAATGAGGCACGGCGATATTCCACGCTTCACCTCGTGCATTTTTTTTGCACAAGAAGGAGCAGTCTAGACATAGCCTAGGAGTGTAGCTGCATAAAATCAATTTTCTAAGTGATTTTTGGTTGCCCAACATAATACTTTCAAGGGAAACTGATTTTAAGAAAATGCTCCCAGCTATATTTTTAAGATGTCGATTATTAGTTTAATCTGATATTAATCCCAGAGAATTTAGTTGAAGAAGTTATCTAAATCTTTAGGCAGCTAGAGAGCTCTTTTTCCTCAGCTGTAAAATGCCAGCAAAATTGTACTCTCGGACATGCTAAGAGGATAATGGGAGTTTTGCGTAAGTACAGGGTACAGAACATACAATGGAGATCCATGGTTCAGCTTTTAGAGAAAAGTTAAATGGTTCACATTTATCCAGACATACCTTTGCCATCTGGCATTCAGTGTTACCCTTTGCACCCAAGAACACCATGGCCAAAGCAGAGGAAATGCTCAAAGGAGAAAAGAATAAATTCTGTGTAGTGGCATTTTCACTCAGCTTTCTGAATAAGCTGAGTGCAAAGGTGGTGTTTGCTTTTCTGACGTTATCCATGGTTCAGAATCTGTAAAATAAAAACATAAAAGAAAGATCATATAAGGCACAGATTTAAAAATATGAGTATTTAATGTGACACATTCTCAGCTGGCATAAATTACCAAACTTCCATTAAAGTCAGTCGAACTATACTGGTTTCACACAACCTCAGATGCTAGCACAGTATCATATAAGTTGAGATAACAAGTGGGATAAACACAAATTGCAAAGTTTTCCAATCCTCTATGATTCGTGCTGAGTTTCAATACATTGCTTTTTGAGAATTCAGCACTTAGCTAGCAGACTGTGACTAGACAATTTCATATTTATGCTTGTGATCAAAATTTTAGCAGCTGATGTTGAATTTGTTCTATATTTAATAGTCATTATTGGAGACATGTTTAAGTCACAACTCTGTAATATTTAAAGTCTCAACTTTAATACAATCTGTAGTTCATAATTATTTGAATTTATATTAGATATTCTGGTGTAAAATATTCACTGCATGTTCTCTATGATCTTGGTTAGTAACTTTCTTAATCAACCAAAAACTGATTTTGGGTGTAAAGTTCTATTAACATCTGCCTTTTTGACTCCTTAGCGTTATAGTCACCTACTACTTCCGATTGCTTTCTAGGCCACTTTGTGGGCACTGTCTTATTTCTCAGTAGAAATATACATATTGGATCCTGGGACTAAATGTTCTAGAGGGCAAGAGTGCCACTTCTGCAGAGATAGCACATTGAGGAAAAATGGGAAGAGAAATATGAATAATTTAATGGGAAGTAAGAGAGAGGGATCGTGAGGGTGAGAGGAAACTCTTCACTCTGTAATGTTTCATTGCTTTTGTTTGTAATTTTTAAACTTCCTTTTCTCTTCCATTCCTAACATCTCAGTTGCAAATACACTTGTGCATAAAGAAATTACTGAAAAGCTCCCAATTAGAGCAGATTGATATTTCATATTTTCAGAACCTATGGCCAGCAGGCAATACTAATAAATCAATTGTTTTATTTACCTATTGATATGGCAAGAAGGAGCTAAAACAAATTGTAGAGTCCCTACAAAACTGTCAGTGAAACTTTCTAATAAAAATATTGTCAAAGACAATTTAGCTTTTTAGGGGAGTTCTTAAATGCACACTTACAGCACAGTAACAAAGAAATCATTATTGTACAAGGTGGGTCTGTTGATTACAGGGCTATTTGGAAATACAGGAGCCACAGCAGCAACTCCCTGCTCTACTACAGACTTTCTGCGTGGCCTTCAGCAAGACACATAGGCTATTTCTACACTGTAATGAAGGACTGGAGCCACGGATGTGGTTAGCATAGTTCCGTCGACTTGGGCTACAGGGCAATAAAACTCCAGTGCAGGATTCAGGCTCTGCTAGCACTGAGACTGATGAAGGGGGAGGGCCCCAGAACCCAGCCTCCATCCTATTGTCCCACTGAATCTAAAAAGGAAGAGAAGAGATGAGCTACTGTTGGTCATCATGACATCTAGAGGTTATAAACTGTTTCCTGTTACAGTGTTACCAGAAACTCAAAGTCTGATTCAGTCCATGTTTGGTTACTCTAACAACCACCGGAACATGCACTGTAAATCTTAGATTGAACTTAAAATGGAATCCACAGAGAATTTTTCCTCACATACATAGGTAAACACGTGCACTTCAGGTATTGTTAGAAAATAAGTGCCAACACTATATTTGGAGGAAGTGCGGGAGGGTTAAATGTTAACCTGAGGTTACAGATCCAACCATCTACAACATGAGTAGTTGAAATAATAATAGCAAATTAACTTCAGATAAGAAGGTTACAGCCATTTTATGATCTCTCAGACAGTTACAATAACTTTGAAATGACTCATTTTTTTATCCTAAGGCAGTAACTAATATTGGTATGTTTATTGCTGTTGCTAAACTCAATCCTATGACAAATTCATATTCCTGACTCACCATCTTTAACATAGAGAGGAAAAAACCACACCCTACTAACTTCTTGTTTCAACCTCAGAAAAAGGCTTACTATCAACTGAAGCATTATTCAGCATGCCCACAAAACTATCAAGTATATTTCTCTGATATAAAACATTACTGTAAATGATGCAAGATAAAGGCTTTGGAAAATTTTGGAAAGTGCAGAAAAACAGGATTTAAATAAAAAAGAAAAGCAGTATTCTCCATTGCCCTCCAGTACTCACAAAATGAAAATGTTTAGTTGGAGATTTTTTTCCTGCTTCAGTGAGAATGGTTTCACTTTTAAATCTGATATTAACCAGGATGAATTTTCTACACTACATTAATTATCCTCTGATGTTTAGATAATTGGAGGCATACTCTGAAAATTATCAGAGCTCAAGTAGCAAGAAGGGCATTTACTCTACAACACTGATCTAAGGATAATACTTAGTGCTGTCACTTAAACGCATGGGACTTATACAAAATAAAAAAAATTGCCCTGCATAAAGTACAGTACAGTAGCATACTCATGCAAGTCTTTGTAATCATCTTCTGGAAACCATACTCCAATCACACTGAATCTTACCACTGCTGTAGCAAAAAAGGACCCGAGACACACACAATACTAGCAAGTTGAATTGTTGCAACACCGCAAATTTTAAATGTAATTCTATCTAAAAATTTTCTTTCAGCAATGTAAGCAGAAGACACTCTATTTATGGTTTTGACATGGACTTTGTGGTCTAAGATAAGCAACGCCACATCTTCCTGTCAGAGATAACTCAGTACTACCACAATTTTGAAAGTTTAAAAAAATGTTATTTACATTTTTTTTTAACAAAATTTTCCATTTTGATTCTATCCACCTAAACAATTATTATTATTAAAGCATTGGAAGAAAAATACCATCATGCCCTTCGGAACTTCCCAAGTTTTCAGTTTAAAACATCCTTTGTAGTATGCATACTGTAGCAGGCTACACTTAGGCTTTGTCTATACTACTGCAGGCCATCAACCTAAATTACACAACTTCAGCTACTTGAATAACATAGCTGAAGTTGATGTACTTAGGTCTGCCCACTGCAGTATCTTCAAAGCAGTATGTCAACAGCTGATGATCTCCCATCAAATAAGACATGACTTTTGATTATTTCTCTACTGTTGTTCTAACTGACTACACATATTGACTGAGATCAGAGATTAGATTATCTAGTCCAAGTCTGTTATTATTTGTGTTGGATTTCTAGGTTACAGAATATCATGGTCCTGACAGCTTCATACAGATAAGACTTCTGTTTTGCCAACAAGGTAGTTCCATTAATATATGGTCTGACAGCGAAGTGCAGTGAGCAGGTTTGGGAAGAAGTGGAAGACAAAACTGTCAGACTCATGAAGTCTCCAAACTTACTGACCATGTTTACATTAACAGGGATGCAAAGATAATCCATCTAGGTTGTTAGGTGGTCACCTAGGGTATGTCTATACTACATGGCTCCATCGATGGAGCCATGTAGATGAGCTTTGTAGACACAGCAAAATGAAGCGGTGATTTAAATAATCGCCGTTTCATTTACATCAAAAGGGCTGCCGTGCTGTGCCGATCAGCTGTTTGCCAGCACAGCGCAGTAGTCTGGACACTCGGCGGTCGACATCAAAAGCCTTTGTCGACCATCCCAGTAAACCTCATCCCACGAGGCATAAAGGACGGTTGACAAAGGGTTGACAGTTGATGTCGACCACCGAGCGTCCAGACAAACAGCTGATCAGCACAGCGCAGCAGCCATTTTGATGTAAATAAAGCGGCGATTATTTAAATCACTGCTTCATTTTGCTATGTCTACAAAGTTCATCTACATGGCTCCGTCGATGGAGCTATGTAGTGTAGACATACGCCTACTTGCATCCACATCCCTTCCACAGGACCATAACATGAATGTTTAGTGTGAGCATTCTCAAACAGAGTTGTTTCTTTTAGGAGTTGTTCACTTTGAGAAAGTTTGTTGTGTTTAAAATGAAAGTCTCAAAGGAACCAATCTAATGGGGGCAATTACGTTTAGCATTGCTTTATTCCTGATTCAAACCTGTTGCCCAACCTACTGTTTTTTATTCATCACTTGGAGCTAAACGGCTAAGGAATGGATCTGCCTAGAAGACTAGAGGTTTAGTTAAAGATTGAAAAATTAGACTTCATGAACATTAGTGTGTGTGAAGTCATTGATATAAGCTCAGCATGACTAATTTGCACTTTTAGAAGTTGTCACTTGTGCCACACAACACAATAGCTCTGGTTTAACTATTCATAAATAGCAGTTGCTAAGTAATCTGTCCATTGGCCAAGAACTACACTCCTTGGGATGGCCTGCTCACATTCCACTTGTTGAGTGGGAGGGGAAGACAGTTCTCTTCAATTTTATATGATGCAACATAAGAGAAAAGGTCAATTTTATTTTTACTTTCCATATTCTTCAGTATTAAGTGGTGTTCTGGGTGAGAGAAAGCTTGATTAATGCATGCCCTATGTGCTGGCTATTTCCCAGCTGCCAAAAGGTCCATCAGTCCAAGGCAGACAGAATAAAATTGGGGAAGCCCTCAGTGTCTTTCTGCTCTAATTACTGAAGTAAAATAAAAATTGAGGATTAAAGTCAATATTGGGGAAAAATCATATGTATTTGAAAACTGCTGAACTCCATATACATGAGAATAAGAATTACCTTTTTTAGAATTGATATATTTTAAAACTCACAAAATTATTAAGAGGCTATCTGCTAAAGAGTACTTAATTTCATATTGCTCAGAGTGCATCTGAGGCATGTGTCAGGTAGCAGTGTGCTCCATCTCTGTTTAAATATTTGACTTAATGTATACATATTCAAGAAATCTAGCTGAATCAAACAAGAAGTTATGGAGTAAGAATGGGAACCTAGAAGAAATGAAGAATTTGCTGATTAAAGGCTTGCTCCCCTTCCAAATCACATTATGTTAAAAAGTTTCTTGTTCTTGACTTCAAGACTCTGCCCAACAACTGGTCTATCTTCTTTGGCTGCTCCCAATTCTTACTTCGCACGCATGCACACACACACACTTTGCCTGATTCCGTACAGCCTATCAGTGTTTGCAAACATCAAGTTTGTAGAGAACTCAGATTATAAAGGATCACAGTGGTCTTTCATGACCCTTTGTATAGCCTTTGAACTTCACTCTCCTTGTGAGCATGTGAAGATGCTTCCCAATAATTTATGGCAGGGGTTCCCAAACTTTTTGACACAGGGACCAGTAAATCCATTCACGAGCTTTCAGAGGACTGGTAACAGTCATTTGCATATTTGCATATTCATTAAGCAAATTACAAATATGCAAATAAGGTGTTTTGGCTCCTCCCAAAGCCCCCAGAGCCAGTTTTAGCAAAGCTTTTGATACGGCCACCCACAATATTCTTACCAGCAAGTTAAGGGAATATGGATTGGAAAAATGGACTGTAATCCAATAAAACCCTGCACCATCACATCATGTATTGAAAAGGGGCTCATTTATTTTCAGAAAGCTGATACCATCTTTGGAATTTTTTATCCATATTCTCAATCTGGATGGTGAATACACCAGGTTCTCTCCATTCTGACACATTGCAGTGCCTTTAAACCTCACTGTCAGCAGTGGGGATATTTGAAAGGCACTGCTTTTACATTTTTATTCAGGAGCTGCGTGCACCCTGAACTGTCCCGCTCCCCGCTGGCCTATTCTTTCCCCCCTCCCCAGCACCTTTTCCCTCTCCCCCTCGGCCCTGGGCCAGCCCCGCTGTCCCCACCGGCTGATTCTCTACCCATCTCTCCTGATGAGCCCTGCAGCCCCTGCCAACCCTGCTTCCGCCGGCCGGTTCCCCTCCCTATCTCCCCCGGAGAGCTCCACTGCTTCCCTGCGGCCCACATCCAACCCCTCCTCCCCTCCACAGCCAGCAATAAGAGCTCACCGGTAACCCTCACTATGCCTCTGCCAGGAGCCTGAAACATACGTCTGCATCCGCCCTGCCCGGCTGAGGGCTTGAGGAACCCAGCACTGAACGGGCAGTCCGGGAGCCCGAAACGCCCTGGCAGCCATGCTGAGGTCTGGTTTTTTTTCCCGCGGTCCCATAGTTTGGGAAACGCCTAGTTAGGGCATTGGTAATGGGATAAGGAACCTTTCATCTAAACTTCCCATGCTTTTGCCGCAAGTTAGTGTTATTTGGCAGCACAGCATGTGTTCTGAACTATATCCTCAAACAATCTTTTTGGTAGTGCTGATAGAATTTTAGTGGGTCATCAAGTCCACAGCCACTTGCTGTGTGGCTCCTTTGATATCTTTATCTTTAAACCATCTCTGATTAACAGCTATTTGCGTCTGCTGGGAGACTGAAACATACGTCTGCATCCGCCCAGCCTGGCTGAGGGCCTGAGGAACCCAGCGCTGAACGGTCAGTCCGGGAGCCCGGAACACCCTGGCAGCCACGCTGAGGCCCGGTGTTTTTTTCCCGCAGCCCGGTACCGGGCCGCAGCCCATAGATTAGGAAACGCTGATTTATTGTTTAACTACAGCATATCTTAATTTAAAAATGTGAAGTGACTGATACTCCACCAAGTGTTTTAGTAAATTATTCCAATGATTAATTATCCTCCCTGTTAAAAACGTGCACTTTACTATCCAGTTGATTTAGTTAAGCTTCAACTTCCAGCCACAGAATCTTGTTGTGTCTCTGTATACTAGATTAAAGAGCCTGTACTACCAATCTTCTTCCAGGCATGAAACATCTTTCTTGAATCAATGTGCAAAGCAACTTCAATCTCCATATTTAAATCCTTGCCAAAAGTCCACTCCAAAGAAGCCAGCCAACTGATTACTTACATGATTTAAGATTTTGCTCAGCACACATAATTTCCCTGTACTAGCACTTATGACTGTGAGAAAGTTACAAGTAGCTGGAAATAATTTGTGAGACACAGAATAAAGGGGCAAATGAACAAAACATTGTGTTTTTAAAACCTTTTCATAACTACACAACCAAATTGCAACTTTCTTAATTTGTTGTAACCTCATCAGAGCACGGATGACTTCTTTTTAATGACTGAAAAGTTCCTAAGGCATTACGGTGCTGCTGGGAACAAATAATAAACATGACATCTGGGTGGTGTTGTTGAACAGATTACAAAAATCTATTCTCCACTTTCTGAATGCTGTAGTTTCTGAGTTTTAAAATTTCATTTCATAATTTTAAAAAACTGTGTATGTTTATATTTCTCTCTCCGTGTGTGGAAACTAAGGATGTTAAAATGCAATTAATTGACTAGTCTATGGAATTTCCATCGACTAGTTGATAGGCACTTCTGCATTCCTCCTTTGAAATGTACAGGAGCCCCTGCCTTCTCAAACGAGGAATGTGGAACTTTGTGTACAGCCTAGGGCCAGTGAGAAGTTCCGCTGACTCCGGGTTGCATGGGAGTGCCTTCTTTGAAATGCACAGGAGTCCCCAGCGGTGACTCTTGTGCATTTCAAAGCCATGGAGTCCAGGATCAGTGTGGGACTCAGAGTCCCCCGCTGACTCCAGGCTATGCTGCATGCCGCTAGGAGCCCGGGGTCAGCTGGGGATTCCTCAGCTGATCCCATGCTCCCCGTGGCATTTCCCCACAGATACATGGTTCAAAGGGCCAGCTGCCACACAACTGATCCGCATATCAGCTGTTCGACAGCTGTCCCTTTAAATCATACATCCACGGCCGAGAAGCTGACCCCAGGCTCCTAACCGCATGCAGCGTAGCATGGAGCCCAGGATCAGTGGGGACTCTTGTGCATTTCAAAGAAGGCATCCGCATGCAGCCCGGAGTCAACAGGACTTCCTGCTGGCCCCAAGCTGTATGTGGAGTTCCGCATGCCTTCTTTGAAATGTACAAGAGTCCCAGTGAGGGATCTTGTACATTTCAAAGGAGGAATGTGGAAGTGCCTATCAACTAGTTGACTAGGAAAAAACCTATCCAATAAGCAAATGCTTATTGGATAGTCGACTAGTCTTTAACATCCTTTGTAGGAACATAATGGGAGATAAGTCAAAAGCAGTATTTAAACAAGTTGTAATGTATGTGCAGATCTATAATTATCTTAAAAATTAAAGCCACAATCCTGTTTAAGTCTGCATGGCTAGATCTCAGTGGTCTGGTAGGACTCCAGAAAGCAATGACCATTCCATTAAGTGGGACTTTGTGCAGGGCTTGTTACAGGACTGAGGCCCAAAGTGTGCACCCATAAGTGGCTAGCTCCACCTCCCCAAAAAGAAAAAGCTTTTCTTACCCTGAAATAATACAAGACTATCTGGTGACCAGAATGTCATATACTTTCAGAAATATAGTCAGCTCTATTTGGAAAGAAAGACAGAAATAAGGACAGAAAGTGAGGAACCCATAATGTTTATAATACAAGCAATGAGTCAGAAAATATAATCCCAACCTTTCAATTAAAATGTAATTCAGGCCCGTAGTCCAACCTTCCAATGAATTTAACTTATTAGAAAGGCAAGGTGGAGGGGGAGGTAACAGTTTTTATTAGATCAACTTCTGTAGGCAAGAAGAGACAAGTTTTCAGACTTCTCCAGGTCTTGAAAAAATAAAGAAGAGTTTCGCATAGCTTAAATTTAAAAGCTGGTCTCTCACTAACAGAAGTTGGTCAAATAAGAACTACTACCTCACTCATCTTGTCTCTTTTATAGCCTGGGACCAACATAGCTACAATATTATATACTTATTTGAAATGCCAACCAAAACAACATGTGGGTTTTGCAGTGGATTGTAAAATCTTCAGGGCAGAGACACAGTGTTAGGCTCAGTCTTGTCAAAGGTAGTGTAAATTATGCCACTAGACAGAGCATATAAATATAATGGTGGTAGATTCATTGCAGGAATTTATTTAAAGACATATGCTATGTTTTAGTGACTAAGTAAATAGCAGTGCCAGGAACCTCCCATTGCCCAAGACTCTCCTGAGAGACTCAGCAGTCTAGGAAGAGCTACAGAGGATAGGAGAGTTAGTCTGTTACAGGAAAAAACAACAAATGGTCTGGTAGCACTTTAAAGACTAACAAAACATGTAGATGGCATCATGAGCTTTCATGGGCACAGCCCACTCCGGTCATCTGAAGAAGTGGGCTGTGCCCATGAAAGCTCATGATACCATTTACATGTTTTGTTAGTCTGTAAAGTGCTACCAGACCATTTGTTGGGGTTTTTTAAGGCAGGGCTAGTATATGTGCAATGGATTTAATAAATTCCCATGCTGCATGTATTACATCCACTAGTTCTGTCCTACCCTACCTGCATAGAAGCCAGGGGAGAGTCCTTAGCTGGCACTAGAAAACCCAGTGCAAGGTATTTAGAATCACAGGTTATAAAGGACCATCTCCTCTTGCTGGTCTTACTGGCAGAAGGAAACCACAGGCTGAAGCACCTTCTCAAGGCAGGGACAGGCCAGAGACACCTACTGAGTTGTGAATTCAAGTTTCAGTCTGGTCTGTTAGGAGCTTGACTCTTGTCTCATCCCCCACTCCCACAGGCAGACTTCCGTCCTTGCTCTCACCCCATCCCACCAGAGTATAGGATGCTGCTGGAACTAAGGTGCTGCCACATCCCCTAGCTGGAAGTGGTTTCCATCACACCTGGGGGTTACAGTTTGGTTCATGGCTACTAAACACACTGTCCCAGTCACTGCAGAGAAACAAAACTCACCTGACAGACATAAGAATTCCCCCACCCCAAGCTCTGGATTGCTTTAACCAAAGCAATGGTGTGTACAGCGGATGCACCAATAAGAATAGCCAACTGGGGAACAGAGCTCTGATCCATCCCCCTTTCTCCTGTCCTTCCCCACCGCCCAAAGATGAGGACAGAAACAAAGGCCCCAGTGCCTGGGGCTGGCAGCAAAGCCCTGGGTGTACAGGGCCAGCAGGAGAACCCAGGGTGCACTGACCCAGCAGCTGGGTCCCTGGTGCATACAGTTGGCAACTTGGACCCCAGTGCACAAGGCTGGCAGCAGAGCCACCAAACACAAGGCCAGGAGCCCAAGGGGTACTGCTGCTTTCCCCCCATCACTCCTACTTCCCTTCCTGGTCTATGGGTGTTGCCCCCACAGCTCCTATTTGATGAGGAACCGGAGCAGCATGGCACAGGGTCACAACTGGGAATGTTTAAGTGTAAACGACCGAGCAGATGCTTATTGATTAATGGTGTTGATTACAGTCAGCTAAGCCTTCTCCCTGGGGAGCCAGACAGGCAGGAAGCTGCAAGCCCCACTCCTGAGGAGGTTTAGCTTTATAGTGCAGGTAACCGCCGAGACTGTTAAAATCATGCAATGGGGTAACATCCCTAGTCACAACCAGGACTGCCCCCGCCTTGTGTCCCTTCACCCCACATTTCACCCTACACATACCTACCCAAGCCCCCAGTCTTGAGCCCCCCCCTTCCATTTCTTACAGGTACTGTGGCAACTCCCAGCGTTTCCAGACAACAGCACTGGTAAGAAATGTAAGTTAACATAAGAATGGCCATATTGGGTCAGAACAAAAGTCCATCCAACCCAGTACCCAGGGCTGGATTAAGGAGGCGGGGCTAGCCAGGCAACTGACCGGGGTGCCAATCTATGGGGGGCACCGGATGGCAGCTGTAAGGGGCACCGTGCACCTGGCCACGCAGCACCCTTTAGACCTGCCATCAGGTGCCGTGCGCCCAGGGCTAGGGGCTGCCCGGCGCCCCTTAGAGCTGCTATCAGGTGCTGTGCACCCTGGGCTGGGGGCCACGCGGTGCCTGACGGCAGCTCTAAGGGGCGCAGCGTGCTGAGGGGCGGGTCCGTGCATGTGCCATGCGCCCATGGGCAGAGCCATGCATGCATCGCATGCCCGCTGCCCGGGGTGCAGGAATGGCTCAAGCTGGCCCTGGTAATGAATAAATGTTTGTATATATGTGGCAGTGATGGGGAAATCTTTTTTCCTCATTCCTATGATATTGAAATTGAAAGTGTCAAGTAAAATTGAACAAATGAAAGCATCATGTGTATAAAATACTAACTGATATTTAGGGTTTGATCCTTCACTTTCCTTACGCAAGGAAAACACCCACTGAAGTTTTGCATAGGATCAAAACTGGACCATGAATATTTTAAAAGGCTACATTTTTTCAGTTTGGGAATTTTTAATATTGAGCTCAATAATAAAATGCAATAACTAAGAGTAACAGCAATTTGACATATTATAATAGCAGTATTGAAAAAAGTGCTCTCCAAAACAAAGAGTTAATTGCTAAATTAATTTACTGATTAAAAGAATCACTACAAGGCAATTCAGCTAGAACTATGCCAGGCCCAGCCATTTCATATTGCAAAGTATGATGTGAATATATTCCTTACTTTTGATCAATGTGGGTTTTGCACCCCCAGAGTTTCCCTTTGAAATTCTGGTTCAAGCAAATCCAAAAAGCTCAAAGAGAAACTTATTTGAAACTACGCATTTCAATCAGTTTTTGTCTAAACTTTGTGAAAATGAAAATTATTGGAGGTTTTGACACAAAACCTAAAGGGCTCAGAAGCCTTCTCTATTGCAAGTTACAGTATAAAACTCTAAAGTCATACCCATCCATCTGGGAATCTGTCATAATAGCTGAAAATAAAACCATTTGAAATAGCACAACAGAGTTTAGATTTTGTGTTTTATAGTAAACTTTAGGGCTACGTCTACACTGGCCCCTTTTGAGGGTTCAGGTTGGAGGGGGCAGTCCGATGCCTGTGTGAGAGGGAGTGGCCTCACCACTGTGCTGTGAATTCCTGGCCTCTCTCGGATATTGTTCTACCAGATCAAAAGTCCATACTAATAGTTAATACATCGTGGCACTGAAGGAGGAGAGTGATGTGGGTGTAAGAGAAAATTTATTTGCGTTTATGTAGACTGGAGCCGAGAGAGGAATGTTCTGTGTCAGATTTAGCTGCAAATGTGTATTGTGCAAACTGTTTCCTCTCCCCCCCCCCATCCCCCTTCTGTTCTGTAATGTGATTTGTCCTTTTCACGTGTGTTCATTTTTTTTAATTGTATCCTTTGGTATATATGGTTGTGACTATTTTCTTCCATTATTTGATCTGAGGAAGTGGGTCTGGCCCACGAAAGCTCATCATCTAATAAACCATCTTGTTAGTCTTTAAAGTGCTACATAGTCCTGTATTTTGTCTAGAGAGAGGGTTTTTCACTGGTGCAGGAAGTGCACAGCTGGTTCATTATATTTTCTGTGGACCTGTGTGCTTCTCTATAAAAGTGAGATTTATTCGTTTTTGTTTTTATAGAATTAGTTTTATAGTATTTCTTTCTGGCTGCATAAACCCTGCTTGCTAAGACAAATAGTTCTTGTCAGCATTTGTTCTGAATATGGTGCAGTTGTGATGTGAAAATAGACTTGTTAAGCAGCTGAACAAATAAAACTCCAGTCCAGTGTTATCCCAAGCACCTGGCACAAAGCAAATTTCAACATGAAATCTGGGCCAAACTAACTTCAGAAAGAGAATTCAAATTCACTAACCTCATGCACATGCCAAAGTTGTATTTGGTTTGGTGTCTGACTCTATAGATATTTGGGGACATATAAAGGTAAAGTTATGAGTATTTTCTTTTTTTTAGTGAGCAACTTGTGTTCAGAGAAGCTTGCACACAGACTTTTCTGCTGCTTTGAGTTATATGGGGGTTAAATTGCATACATGCTGGCACCCTGCATAAACTAGGAAAAGGAAATGTTATTTTACCAACTGTGTTAAATAACATTTTAAATAACATGATTTTAAATACCATTTTGCAATCTAATGCAACGCAATCTAATCTCAAGCTAGGTCTACACTAGGGGGCAATGTTGAACTAAGGCCCCCAACCTTTTGGAGCTGCCGAGCACCTAGGGGTGGGGCCACTCATTTGCCGGGCATCCGGGGGAGGGGCCGCGCATACACTGCATGCCGGGTGCCGGCGCCACCCATGCGCCGCACTCCCGGGGCCGGTACCACTCCTGTGCTTCACGCCTAAGGATGGAGCTACCCATATGCCATGTGCCCGGAGCTGGCGCAACTCCTGTGCTGTGTGCCCAGGGGCGGGGCTGCCCATACACTGCATGCCCGGGGCTGGAACAGCCCATGCGCCACACGCCTGGGGCCAGCGCTGCTCTTCTGCCACATGCCCAGGGGCAGGGACACCCATACGCCACACTCTTGGGTCTGGCACAGCCCATGCTCCATATGCCCGGGGGCTGGGCTGCCCATGTGCTGCGCGCCCAGGACCAGCACAGACCTCACACCGCGCACCCGGTGGTGGGGCCGCCTAACCACCGCACGCCTGGGGCCTATGGCGCCCGCGGGCACCACTGAACTGAGGCATGAAACTCCAGCTACATAATAGTTAAGAGTTCAAGTTCCTTAGAGATCAAGTTGCCATGTTCCCCACTGTGGGGGGCTGATAGGAGAAACTCTGTCATCGACTCTCCTTATCTTCAGGATCTGGTGGAGTACCCGAGTTGACGGAAGTATGGTCAGTGGTCGATTTAGCAGATATTTACTAGACGTGTTAAATCAGCCCCTGGGAGATCAATTCCCGCAGCGCCGATCTCCTGGTAATCGTAGACAAGACCTTAGTTAGGCACAATCAACTTTGGCTAAGTTGTTATGATTTTGAAATGGCCAGGATGAAAATATACTGTAACTATTGACAGTGCTTTGAATAGCATAATAAAACTGATACTTATCTAAAATAATATAAATCACTAATTTGATTAGTAAAAATACACAGCATTTTTATTGCTTTAAATGCACTTCATACACTAGAATAATGGAGTAAAATATCAGCTAAAAGCACATTGGAACGTGCGTGAATAACAAACACCATTGCTAAACTGCATTCTTGAACTAAAAGCCTATTTTTATTTTTCCACTTTATTACTGATACTGATATATAGGAATAGGTGAATATTACAACCAGTAATTGCATTAACAACACATTAATGTTGTTTGAATGCTGAAGGTTTTGGATCATATGTCTATAACTATTACGGTTAGATTGGGGCATGCTGGTGAAAGTTGAGCTCATCAGCAAAGAGCTGTTAGGAAATTTAATTTACAAACATTTTCAAAAGATCAGGAACTGGAAAAAACATTAGTATGAGCAACAAACAGTAGCTGGTCATAAAATGTCAAAGACAACAAGTTCACTGGCTGGGGAGGGAAGGCCAGTCCGATAACTCTATGCCAACATTGTCAAAAAGTATTTGGCAGAATGTTTAGTTTCTCATACAGAGTCTTTCCTATGTCAGTGAAAACTGAATTGGAAGGTTAGGGAGGTGAAGAATGGTTTCACTAAATATAAATGTTTAGTTTAGAGAGCTTCTAGTGAGGACTGAATTTCACATGCTTTTGTCTTAGGTTTTATGCAATTATAGTAATTTCCAAAATGCTAATTTTCAAAGTGAAAATTTAAACTAGTGATAGTTAACAGCTTTGTATACTTTCAAATGTATTATATAGCAGACAGTAGGATCACTAACATTTTTTTAACAGTCTGTGATAACACTTCAATCAGCTGGATCACACACTCAATGAAGTCAGTGGGAGAAGGATTTGGCCTAATGTTGATTTTCATATCTTCTGTGAGAAGTGTTGTTATTGATTTATTAATGCTTTTAGTGCTACACATGAATGTACAACGTAGGCTCAGCAGACTGACTCTACGTGGTCCAGCATCTGTCATTTAGACATGATGGTATAGATCCAAATGGAATGCTATATAGGTTAAATGTATATTTTAAAACTCTGCAAGAACACAAGAAAATATATTTTTGGGTGGGGAAAAACTTCATAAAAATATAAGTCAAAGCAAATATTGTGAAATTCAGGGATAATGCTGAATCTTTATCATTAACTGGCCTGGTGGCACCTGGGATTTACATACAGGACTAGTTGTGTTTTCAGTTACCCTTTATATCCAGATCTGTAATACCCATGAATAAGAAAGTTAATTATTAAGCACTAGACTGGGGCTAGGTTTAAAGTGGCCATGGACCAAAGACAGATTAAGGTTTTTGTAGGCCTTGGGCACTCTCATAATCATAGGTCTTTAATTAGATTATATATAAATATATAAGGGAGAAATTCTCTATCACCTATATGCCTTAATATTTTTGTTCTTCAAAGTGGCACAGTGTGTGAGCAATTCTAAAATAAAAAGGTATGTCCAAAGATAAAGGTATATTTACATGCAAGGTGAAAAAAGTCATCAGGCATGCAAGGGGGTGGAGGGGTCAGATGATCACTTAACAGTCTTAACAAGGATTGAGAGTGCACCAGGAAGCCTTCCTACTTCTTGAAATAGATTAGTTGAATTTTGGAAAAACAGCAGGACATCTGCCTTCTAGCAAAAGAGATGCCTTGTTTGGGCTCACTTCTCAAAGAATATATTTCAAAGGTTTACTAGAATATAAAAAGGAAGGGGAGAGAACCCAAATCTTATCTATTTCTTGAGGGACTAAAGAAATCAGCATTTAAAACTGTAAGTGTGGATCCTGGCTGAAACAGCCAGTCATATTGGAGAAGTTGCTGTAAGTAGGGAAACTATCTTGAACAAGAACTTTAGCTGATTAAGTTACATTTTAGTCTTAGAAGCATTTTTTTACTTCTGTTGGTTTGTAACCATTTTTATCTCCATTATTTCTACTTGATATCATTTAAACCTATGTCCTTTTGTTAAAAAACTTAGTTTTAATTAAGCCAACTCTGTGCTTTATTGAAGCGGAGCATTTATCCACCCCTGTTATCTTAATTAGTTGCAGTGCACTATCTCTTTAAAGGAGAAGTGAATTTAACTTCTGCTAGTGTTCAGTAAGAGGGCTGGACACTACAGGGCAGGAAGTTCTGAAGAAATTTGGGACTGGGAGGATGTTGGAGTCACTCAGCGAAAAGTATGATCTGTATACATATCTGCTTGCTTTTGGGGTCAGGGCTGTGAGCCACAGCAGCATAGCTTTTAAGAAACTCAGAGTTTCAGGATAGGCAGTGATTCTACCCCTTTTGGGTCTAGGCTGAACCCCAAAGCATCACAGTGAGTAACCCAAAGCAGTGTTTCTCAACTGATGGTACGCGTATTCTTAGGGGTATCTGGGGGGTTCATCAACACAAGTGAAACTTGGCAAAAAATGTCGGGGATTTTGCCCTGCAAAAGGGATCAGGAAGGGGGCGGCACCACATGCCTGTTAAATTGAATATTCGGAGCCGAGCACCCAGATGTTAACAGCCACTCTGCACATGCGCCCCAGTGGCAGTGGTACTCTAGTGACACCCAGGGCAGTTCCAAGTTGGGGGGCAAATTTAGGCAAGGAGGAAAAAAAAAGCACTTCCACAGCCACCTCTCCTAGTTTGTTTCCTCTCCAGCAGGCTCTCTGGGGTGCTCCAATGGGGAGGGCGGCTGAACTTGGAGATGCACATTACTTCCACCCCTACCAGCAGCTCAGTACGACCCATCCCCATTGCCCTTCCCTGTGGCACTGTGGAGAGGAGCTAAAAGGCAATGAAGTGGCATAATAAGCTTTGCTTCAAAGGACACTCCCCACACACATCAGTGGCATAGCGAGGGAAGGCAGTCGCCCCGAGGCACCACGCTAGGGGGTACCGGGCTGAGGTGGCAGCACACAGCCCCATGTGGCGAGCCCGGCGCTTGCAGACCACTTGCTTCCTGCAGACAAGCCGACAAGGCAGGTCTGGGTGGCGGGAGTGGGCACTTCAAAGATGGGGTTACCATACGTCCAGTGCCTGGTACTGGGGGAAGGGAGGGGCACTGGGTTAGAGCGGGGGGGGGGCTAGGGTGCCTGGCTCTGGGGGAGGAGTGGGTGCATTGGGTCAGAGCAGTGGGTGTTAAAACTTTTGGCTTTCTTTCCTTTCCTGTAGGTAGACAGTGGGTCTGTTGATTAGATTTGGGGATTCCAGTCTCTGTTCTATGAGGACTGTGGGAGTTGGGGGAAAGTGGGGGCGGGGGCCTAGGAGTACTTATAATTTTTTTTAAAGGGGTACTTTATAAGAAAAGGTTGAGAAACACTGACCTAAAGCATTGCACATACAGGGAGAATGCTTAGAATCCTTTGGTATAACATTGCACCTGTATGTTGTTTGTTGACTATAGATAGTAAGTTTGATTTAGCAGTTTTCTTATTTACAAGCCAAAAGTGGGGGCGGGGGCCTAGGAGTACTTATAATTTTTTTTAAAGGGGTACTTTATAAGAAAAGGTTGAGAAACACTGACCTAAAGCATTGCACATACAGGGAGAATGCTTAGAATCCTTTGGTATAACATTGCACCTGTATGTTGTTTGTTGACTATAGATAGTAAGTTTGATTTAGCAGTTTTCTTATTTACAAGCCAATTACTTTTTTTTTTTTTTAAGGCCCTACATTTTTCATAGGCCCTAAACTTTTTTGTAGGCCCTGCACACTGTGCCTGTTGTGCCTAATGGATAACCTGGCTCTGCTATGGCCAGTGGTAGAAATTAAGGACCTCCCCAAAACACTCTGCATGACTGTTTTACACCTCCTCACATCGAGTTTGCAGGTTCACCTGTCCCGCGAGCAAGTGGGTGGGGAGCGACAGAGCTCTCACAACATTGGCCAGGAGAGCAGGCTCGATACCCACAGAGTGCAGTGCACTACTTACTGTATGTCTAGACTGCATCCCTCTGTTGGCAGAGGAATGCAGATTAGGCAGATCGACATTGCAAATGAGTCAGGGATTTAAATATCCTGCGCCCAATTTGCATAAAAATGGCCTCCGCGTTTTGCTGACTCAGCATTTTGTCGGCAAATAGCGGCAGTCTAGAGAGGGATCTGTCGAGAAAGAAAGCCTTGCAGGAGGCATAAGGGATCTTTCTCGACGGATCCCCTTCTAGACTGCTGCTTTTTGCAGACAAAGTGCTGAGTCGGAAAAACGCGGCAGACATTTTTATGCAAATTAGGTGCAGGATATTTAAACCCCTGTCTCATTTGCAGTGTCGACCTGCCGAATCTGCATCCCTCTGCTGACAGAGGGATGCAGTCTAGACATACCCGGTAAGGGGCTACAGTAGATTACTGTCCCCCAAGTGTGTGTGAGGAGCACAGGAGGAAATGTGCCTCAGTGTGTATCTCTGAGGTGTAATAATTTCTGGGGCTACTGCTGGGCAACTTATGCTCAGGGCTCTAACTAAAAGCACAAACTAGACCTATGCTTTGAATTGCAAGTTTTAATTTGCATTTCTCAATTGCATGCCTTTTAGTAGTATTCTAGGGAGAGCAGAATCTGCCAAAGAAGAGGATGCTCATAGTTGTGTTGTGCCTGATGAAGAAGAGGAAAGGGTGATCTGCCTTAAATTGTACAGGATTGGCAGATGATCTCACTACTATAACAGCTCCAGTGGCAGCTGCAGCCTCAGTGCCTTCTTCATTGACCTCAACAAAGGACTTGTGAAAAACTTGTGACAAATAGAGATCATCATGCTCAGACATCCCTGTGAAGTTAGCTTGGCCCGGACTGAAAGCATCTTTCATCCCCATACTGCTCAAAGTGGACTTGAGGTTATAGCTCTCTTCCAGCTTGATCCTGGGCAGAGACAACTCCACTTCTGACATCATCATCATTTCTGGACTGGTCCATTTGGATACATTCTCATAGGTCAGTTCCCTTTCTAGCTGCAGTTAGTTAAGAAAGAGAGAATTAGAAAATTAAAGAGCAAAACCAAAATCATTAATAAATGAAAAAAGCTCATCAGAAAGGCATAAAACACATACATAACTACTACCTACCTATGGTTATTACCATAATTACAGGGTGTGCTATACATAATAGGGTTCAATACTGCAAGCTGCTAAGTGACTTATGCTCCCATTTAGCTAAATGGGAGGGGACCTTTCATGTAGGATTGGGCCCATAGAGCAATGCCTCCTTTAGGGCACTCAGCACCTACTAGGCGGAGCTTAGTCCCTTGCAAGGTGAGTTAGTAATTACTATACTTATTTAATTAAATAATAAAAGAGAACACTGGAAACTGGGTGAATGGAAGACAGCTCTGAGAAATGCATTAATTACAAGGGGTCAGAGAGTGAGGTTGTGGTCCACGTTGAGTTATGCAGTCAACAGAAATAGGGCAAAAGAAATGGCTTAAAGCTCTAGTATGGAATTCTTGTTTAGGGGAATCACCACCTAATGTCTAGTGTGCACTATACTTCCCATTGAATGGTAATGCAGCTTTCCCAAGAGAATGCTGAAAATCCTGTGTTTCACACAAAGAATCATGTATTCCCTAAATATTGGTATGACTTTATGGAACCCACAAGACATGCGCATACTAGGGGTATAAGCAATTAGTCGACTACCCAGTAAGCAAATGCTTATCGGGTAGTTCAGAAGGAGCTCGACTAGTTGCTCCCCACCCCCCATGTTGCCTCTATTAGTGCTGGGGGGAGCCTACTTAAAACTGATTCCCGCACCCAGCACCATCTCTGTGGGGGATACTAGAGGCAGGGAGCAGTGGGGAAACAGCACAAGGGAGATTGTAACAGTCTCACTCACACTGGTCCCACTGCTGCTCCTCTGCCTTTGGAATGTACAAGAGCTGCCTGTGGCTCATGCACATTTCAAAGGAAGCTGCTCGGAGGGGAACCCATGCCAGTGGAGACTGCTTTGCTCCCACTGCCTCTCTCCCTTTGAAATTACACAAGAGCAGCAGGCGGCTCCTATACATTTCAGAGGGAGAGTAGCAGAGGGAACTGCTGTGTTTCTCCCTTTGAAATACACAAGAGCTGCGGGCATTTCAAAGGGAGAGGCACTGTGGGTTACATTTCAATTAGCTGATTACAGACAGTCCCCGACTTACGCGGATCCGACTTATGTCGGATCCGCGCTTACGAACAGGGCTTTTCTCGCCCCAGAGCTCACAGGCGGCGGGTTGCCACCCGTGTCCTCTGGGGTGAGAAAAGCTTCTCCCAGTCTCCCTGGTCTGCTGGGGGGGTCCAGCAAAGCCGCTGGGCTACTGCTGGCTCTGAGCTGGCAGGCTTGGAGCTGGCACAGGCACTGTGGCCAGGGTCTACCCCTTTAATGGCTCCCGGGGTGGGGGGGGGGGGGAGGGGGCCCAGCTAGTGCCCCCCCCCCCCCCAGCAGACCAGGCTTTTGTTGTGGGATGCCTCGGGTAGAGCAGCTGGAGTGCTGCAGGGTTGGTCCTGTGCTGCAGGGTTGGTCCTTGAAAGTAGGAATAAGAGATCCTCCGGAAAAGGGCTTTATTCCGGAGGATCGCGCCAGTCTGGACGCTCTTTTCCGGCTTTTCCCCAAGCCGGAAAAAAAGCGGCGGCCATGTTTATTTAAATCCCGCGGGGGATATTTAAATATCCCCCGCGGATTTCCCTATTGCAAAGTTCGAAATTAGCATGCCTCTTCCGAAGAAGGGGCCAGTCTAGACGTTGCCCAGGAGCGGGAGGCTTCACATGCTGCCCTCATCCCCAGCACAATCTCTCAGCTTCCATTGGCCAGTTTCTAACTAGCCAAAACTGAGATTCTGCTGGGGGCCTCCCCTCCTCTGCATGTGGCACAGAGAGCCACATGCAGCAGCCAGCTGCTTTGAGTGGTGTGGAGCTTGGTGGAATATTGTCTAGTCTGCAAAATTGTTTGCACTCCTTTGTCTTCATCTAAATAATTCCTTCATGTTGGACCTTTGATGGTGTTATCATTAGATCTGATAGTTTCACTCCTCAGTTCTTCTTCTGCTCCCAAAAAGCATTTGAATGCTCTATATTTGTCTACAGCCATAAGTGTTAATATACAGAATGTTGCTAAACCCGTACTGAACTTTATCTCATAGCTGTCAAATGCTGAAGGAACATTGCATTTCACTTTCGGGTTCCAGAAATATGTTTTTACCTGTTCCAGACCAGTAGATTTATCCTCAATGTCATCTGGTAATAGGATGAGCATGCTGAGGTCATCATTGACGTATGGAAGCTCAACGATTTTGACCTTCATTGGTTCCAAGTAGCATGTTGAAAATGTATCTTGGAGATGCATCATCTGCACTAGTTTAGTCTTGGTCTGTGAAATTATATATTTCCATAAGAAAAGAAATATCACTTCTTTCTTTGAAATGTACATGTTATTAGTAAATATGCATGACTTTCTTCAGAAGAAATAAAAATAAAAGGCTGAAAACAGTTTATGAACCAAAGATGATTGAATGATTTAACAGGGCTCCTTTTGTGAGAAAATGTTAAAGCAGTGTTTTCTGTGACCTGGATTGATCTTCCACTCTTCTCCAAAGTATTCATAATAACTCACAGAAGGTATGACAGAGGAGCCAGAAAATTCTGCGAGGATCATCTCAATAAGTTTCCTGATATTTGTTCCCTCTATAGGGAAGAGTGTTAAGAAGAGAGAGCAGGAGGAAGAGGGAGAAGCATATTGCTCCCAACACTGGCAAGCTATCCAACTGCCAGTAGTTTTACAGTTTGTATTTCATTATAAGTGAAAGATTTTACTTCATTCCTTTCTTACTTAGTCAATAGCATGAACACATGTGGCACATACCTTGCTCAGTCTGAAGAGATGCTCAGATGTGTTTTCATTCAGAAATCTCTTTTTCCACTTTCCTTTGAAGTAAATGGCATTAACCAAGACCAGTACAGTGTTGGCATGAACAGCACCTTTAGGCAACAGATTCTGGATTTTCCCTTTCAGAAGTAAGAGAACAGTGTTTTTATTCCAGTGCAGTACAGCAAATGGCTATTTCTAATCTTTCTTTCTCTTAGTTTAATGATCCATTCAGAATGTATGTGCCTCATCCCTGTGTGATGTTCTAGAATGAATTAATTTGACCTTTAAAACCAATCTTTGTTGTTGTGACATGTTAGAAAGGCGTTTAAGTAACACAACAGCTCAGATATATAAATCCTGAATCTTCACATTTTTGCTCCTTGTGCAGTTATTTGTGCTCATAGATAGGCATAAAACTCTGCCAAATCAGAATGATAGCATTGTATACTGATTTCATCCTCCTTTGGAACAGGCATAAAAGAGAACCCAAGAGGTAAGGCTACAAAGAATCAAGCTCATGAAATAGACCAGGGGTTTGCTACATAGGGCACATGTGCCATAAGTGGCACACAAGATGATTTTGAGTGGCACACGCATGCTCCATGGTGGGAGCTCAGGCCCCCTCCTCTCCTCCGCAGCGGGGAGCCTGTGCTGCTGTTGGAGCCGCACAGCCCCAAGCCTGCAACATCAGCTCTGGGGGTCAGGCGGGGAGGCTACAGATTGGGCTGCGCGGGGCTCTTGTGGTGTACAAGCAGCTGGTATCTTCCTCCTTCCCTGGCAGCAGTTAGGAGCTCAGAGGCCGGGGCAGGCCTCATAGAAGTCAATGAGTTAAATCTCTGAAAGGCTGCTGATCCCTGAAATAGAGGGTCTGTGGTCATAATCCTGCTCCTGTAGTTTTATCAGTGATGGGAGCCCATGAGGCTAGAGCCCCTGCTGGAGCCTCCGATCCTTGAGGAAATCAGGCTCTGAAGACTGTTCCCTCTGTTTTAGGATTTTATTCAGAACACATTCTAGGATTGCCAGGTGCCCGGTATTGACCCGGACAGTCTGGTATTTTCGCCTCCTGTCTGGTAAAAAAATTCAGAAAATACCAGACACCTAAAATGTCTGCTATTTTTACATTCTTTTTTCCGGCCAGGAGGCGAAAATACCGGACACCTGGCAACCCTAGCACCCAGACCCAGTCCCTGGCCTCACCCCCAGCTCCCTGCCCCCTCATGGGCTCCCATCACTGCTAAAACTATAGGAGCAGGATTATGACCACAGACCCTCTATTTCAGAGATTGGCAGCCTTTCAACGAACACCCTCACCCCTCCCCACAAAAAAATTCTGTTGAGGAAAAGGACTCCAAGCCTTATTAAGCAAAACAAATTTAAATTATAAAACATTAAAACAGGATTGCTAACAGTACATTAGCTCCCCTACTGCCTGACTACAGGAGGAGCACAAGTGGAAATGCAGCCACCTACCCAAGAGGAATTAGCAACCATGGTGGGAGAAGCACAAAGCTGTTACTGTTGTCTTTAGCTTACCCTCAGTTTGGCTTTCAGCCCAGGAATTAATTTCTTTTCTGACTTGTTCTGCAGCTTTTATAAAGTCAACTGCTTGTGGCTCTGCATGGTAATATTTTTGAACAAATTCTACAAATTCCTGTAAGGTTGGAGAGAGAATTTGCTATTAAAATTAGTTGAAATTGGCACCACTTAAAAAAAATCAGATTAGTATTCTAGTAATTGTTGTACAGCAACATGAATACAATTCAACTAGATAAAATTTAAAAGTAAGTTCCATGGTACACTATATTTAGTTATTAGAGCTGGTTGACTCTCAATTTCAATTCCACTGGAAATTCTCACATTTTGAAATTTTCTTTCATCCCAAATCAGAACAAAAAGTGAAAAATTTGAAATTTCCTATGAAATGATAATGCTGAAAAAATAATGTAGAACATGTCGAAATGATATCATGAGGATAACTGGAATGTTGTGTCCAATTCTGGTGCCCACAATTCAAGAAGGATATTGATAAATTAAAGAGGGGCCCGAGTGGAGCCATGAGAATGATTAAAGGGTGAGAAAAAACATTCCTTTACTGTGATAGATTAGAGGAGCTCAATGTAGTTAGCATAACAAAAAGAGGATTAAGACGTGACTTGATTACATTGGTTAATACCTACATAGGGAATAAATATTTAATAATGAGCTCTTCAGTCTAGCTGAGAAAGGTATAACACAATCCAATGGCTGGAAGTTGAAACAAGACAAATGCGCATTGAAAATAAGATGTAAATTTTGAACACTCAGCGTAATTAGCCGTTGGAACAATACACCAAGGTGTAGGGTGATTTCTCCATCACTGACCATTTTAAAATCAGGATTGGATGTTTTTCTAAAAGATCTGATCTAAGAATTATTTTGGGGTTGTTCAATGGCCTCTACCGGGTAGCAGGTCAGACACTAAATGATCACTGTGGCCCCTTTCTGGTGTTAGACTGCATGAAAATGTTCAATTTTTATAAGGTTGAGATGCTTTGTTTCAACTTTGTTTCAACTGTACATAATATAAAATATAACTGATAGAAAAGTATATTATATAATGTAAACATTAAGTTGATAGTCAAAACAATGCATTTCGACTTTATAAAAAATAAGAGTTTTGATAAGTTTTCTTTAGAAATTTAGACAAACGTCTAGTGTTCCTGCAAAACATTTCATTTTTGTCCCATCACCATTTCCCATTGGCAGATTGTTCCTCTGGAAATTTTTCAGTCAGCTCTATTAACAAACTTGGATTTTGATGAGCATTGTCATAAATATCTTTTAAAACTTTCTCTTAAGCTTAATAAAAATATTCAACTTACCCTACGGAATGGAAGAGTCTGTTCCTCATACAGTCTGTTGGCAGTTTTAAGCAAGTAAGAAGTTTGTGGTTTGTTGATTAAAGAGATTAATGCCTGGAACGCAGAATGAATGTCTTCATCTTTGCAGTTGTCAGGGTCCTTTAAAAGGGACACAATAAACTTGGAAATCACATTCCTGTCTGAAAAATGATATATCTTCCTTAGTTGCAAGTTCCTAAGATTACTATAGTTGACAGAAGTTACTGGGGTAGAGATTCCTCTATTTATTTGGTTTATTGTCTCTGCATTTGACTGAATTCATTTGACTGAATTTAACTGTAGTCAGATTAGTTGTTTCCACTGGATATTTATGTCAGTTTCTCCCTTGCTCCAAAGACCTTTACAAATATTATCAGGTGAGTTCTTAGAGCTGCTGCTTAGGTGGAACTTCAAGTTTGAGCTCCAGACCTGAGCCAAGAAGACTGCTACTCAGCATGGAGTTACAGCTCTGGTGGAAATCACATGTCTAATAGAGCATGATTGTATTGGGGATGAGGGATATTTTTCCCTCAGCACTAGAAACAAAAATGGGGTACCATTACTGAGGGATTATAAAAGGGGACAAAGTTGGTAAGAGACAGAGGCCTCTGTTAAAAAGCAGCAGACCTTGTCTTACAAACTATCCTTAGTTCAGCAGCCAGGATTTCCTATTGAGGAATGACAGCTGATTCCCCTGCTGGCACAGGAGCTTTTGAGAGATCTTCAGAGAGAACATCCACCACCCCTATTCCTGACCCACTCACAGTATGATGAAAGGAAAGGGGCTTGTCTGAGGAGTGGTCTTTGGAGCAGAATGCCCCAAGCAGCTGCCGTCTTTGGTCTAATGAACCAAGTAATTTAATGAACTAGTAATTTAAATTAGTGTTGCTGTCAAGATATATTAATCAGAATACATCTGCTGGTTTGGTGAGGAAATAGGGATACCATGTCCCCCACCATCTCTCCAGCACCACAAGTACCTGGCCATTGTCCTACCTTTGCACAGACACTTTTCAAATCTCCCCTATATTCAATCATTTTTCACATACCTCACTCGCACCTTAATGTCCACATGATGCTTTCCCTTTTTAAATCAACCCAACATGCACTACACGATTGCACATGTGCCTTTAGGATATGTCTGTAGCTACCCAGTCTCTGAAGTGAGAGTGCAGATTTTGAATTACCAAGTGATTTAGAGGGGGGGAGAGAGAGTGTGGGGAGGGGTGTGAGGTGGAAGGGAGTTCTCTGTGGAGGTGCAGACTCAGTGGCATGTTGAGGTGGTGTTTAGGAGTGTGAATGAAGCTACCTTTCCTGCCTTTGACATTTAAGTAAGTGTGTTTTGCATGTAAGCAATCTTAATTTATTATTAATAATGATTTTGGAAGGGGTGACAGGAGCAATGTAGATGGAGTCACAAAACAACCAATAGTGTAATTTAAACTAGTGCAACTGTCAAACTTTCCTATTCCCAGAAGTCTCGCGGATTTCTTTCCCTGAGATTTTTGTTCTAAATAATACCATCTTCCTTTTCTTTGGCCTCCCACGAGAAGTTCTTGTCACCTGTAAACAGTCTCCAGTTCCTGTAGTTTTCTTAAAATGAAGCACCTGCAAGCAGAGTTAGGAAAGATAGCAAATATGCTTGAAGAAAAGCTATTTAAGAAAAATGTACATACAAATTGATTTCTATTGACCTAATGTCAAAAGCTCAAATTAATTATAAGTACTTAGCAAAGATGGTTGCTAATTACCCTGCTAAGGATGCTATATCTGTGATTTTCTATTTTAATGTCACTGTGCCCCATGTCATAGCCGAACAGCCAGATCACTTTATAACATCTTATTGCTATGAATCAGATGGGACTTGGTCAGACTACATGAAATTCATGATGACTTTATCCATTTATTATTATACTGTATTTATTATTGGGCTTCACTTGTGTGCTACATGATGTACAATATAAAAAGGTACAGTGCTGCCCCAAGGGTTACCACTTACATAAAAAAGACAATGAAGATTAGTTGCATAATATTTTGAATGGCCATATGAAGGTATAATCACAGACCCATCAAATGGTAATGATTAGATAAACTTATGCTCGAAGCATAGATAACAGCAGCAACAAAACACCATTCAAGGTATGATCACTGCAAATGATAATGGTTTTACAATCTTATCATTTTTATTAACAAAATTAAGGTGACTGTAAATATACTGAAGTGTAGGCTTAAACTAAAAAGGTTTCAGTTGTGAGTATAAGTGAACTGTCTGGGAAGAGCTATGGAAGAACCAAACCATGTTCTCAGTATTAGTGGCATTTAGTTATGTACAGAACATCAATATTCATATCTAAGAGGCATGTTTAAAATCATGTAAATGGAGTGTTCCGTTCAAAGGGAAAGCTAAAGTGGAAGGTCAGGTTCTAAACTTTTGGGGCACCTCCTATCTGGCAAACCAGCAGCCCCATTCTGGGAAGTATGGGGGCATGTGAGATGCAGGGGCTAATGAAGGTAGCAGTTGGGGACTTTTCCCTCTCAGTGAGTTATCTGTTGGATTCAATCCAAAGAGAATTCTGGTAAACTGAGGTAAATAAAATAGATCTCTCACCAGGAAAGGTAAGGAGCCCCCTTACTTGAAGTTACTAGGAGCCACTCAACTGACCCAGGATCAGTGTGTGCTGACCAAGTCCCCTTTCACCTCACGAAAGCCCCCATGCCAATAGAGCCAGGAGTTACCTCTTCTGGCTATTTCCAGCTGGAATTGCCATTTATAATGAGCTGTCCCAGTAGTTTAGAAACTGGACTTCGATTTTTTGCTTTCCCTTTGAACAGCACACTGGCTCAAGCTAGAGTAGCTGAACAGTATGGGGTACAGAGATTTACCAGCAAGATGTTTTCTCCTGGTAGAATTGGGTGGGAAGCTCTGAAATGAGTAATAATTGCCGTGGATTTATAATTCCCTATCATCTACGCACAGCATTTCCGTTCACCATTTCTTCAAGGGTATATATAATGTTAAATACTGATATATCAGGTGGTTGTGACATGCATAGGAGTCATTTGTCATATTGAGATATATACTGTGCACAGTCACATTTCAGAACCTACCTCAGCCATCTGGGTTGCAGTGTTACCTTTTGCACCTACATAAGTCATGGCCAGTGCAGATGAGATACTCCAAGAGGAAAAGAAAATATTTTTTCCTGAATAAGATTCATCCAGCTTTTTTAAAAGGTCAACAGTAAAGCTGCCATTTGATGCTGAGAGAGAAGCCATTGCTGAAACCTAAGACAAAGAGAAAGAATGTAACAGTTTGACTTCCTTGGAGCCAGGATTATACCTTTGGTTTCTAGCTTGTGGGTTTTCTCTGTATCAGGACAAACTAACTTTCCTCAGAAACTGGAAAATGTATCTAAGTGACAATGATTCCAGACTCCCTTAGAATATCTGATCTATAGTCTCTGCTGTAAATTGATCCCTAGTTACTTGTATGCCACACAAATCATGCACATTCTTTACTGTGCCTAAATCCCTTTGATCATCTGGACCTCAGTCCTTGACTCCTTCAGTTTCTGTGGCTGTGGACCTGGTGCATTCTGGAGTGCCCAAACACATAGTCATGGATTATTTTGTTTTGAGAAGAATGAGAGGATGACACAGTGAAAATTGTTTTCTTTCCCCTTAGGGAAGAACAATTTAATCTTTGGCCCACTAATTTGCGGTGTTGTACTATCTCACCACAAGAACTACTACTTGCATAAATTTATCCTTATTTATTTAATTAAAAAATTATAGGGAACACTATTGTCATCTGCTCAAGAAAATTCTTTCTTTAGTCTTACCCCATATCAGCATCTTTTCTTAAGCTCTGCAAGTGTATAATACTTGCACCTTGTTTTTTAAGAACTGAAATCTAAATTAAACATGATGAAAATGTGCAACCCCTGTTTTACTGCATGACATATTATTGTTTAATCTGCCGTGTCTTGCTGGGTTTAACTAATTCAAAAAAGTTTCAAAGAAAGCTAATTATGTCTAGAAATATTTACATTACCTCAAATTCCTGTGAGAGAGGAGAAATTACTTGTGTCCTTTGCCAGGTTCTGAGTCTGTTTGTTAGGTAATACAGACATTTAGAAATATAAAGCAATTGTTCTTCCTTCTCGCCTACATCCGCCAGTTTTACTGCCCTATATGTTTCACCATCTATATTTACCCCTCCTGCCCACAAATTCCCAGAACTTTCTGTTGTAAAATTTGACTAGATTGTTGACATACTGTATATTTGTTTGGCAATACATACATTTAGAAATAAAATGATTGGAGTTCACTTTACTTCTTCTAGACTGCTTTCTCCACTTCCAGTGCCCAATATGTTTCCCCATCTAAACTTACAGGTTTCCAGAACTTTTTCTTGTACAGTTTGACATGATTTATTGACTAATCATCTGCATTTTCAATAGCAATCTTAGCGATTTATAAAATGAATACGGTGATCTTATAACATCTGGTATTTTAGTCATAAGCAAAAATACCACAAAATGGCCTGCTATATAAATGGCTGGTGATGTCTATTGCAACTCTATCTGGTGCCAATGAGACTTTTTAAAAAAAGTAAGGGCAGTTAGTGTTTAATTTACTCCAATTAACACAAATGTCTATTGTCTGGTGTTTTTTTTTTCTGGATGGGAGGATTGCATGGCCTGATTCTCCACTGCATTATTCCAGTGTGATGCCATTGTAGCATGATTTCAGCTGAGCATTATCAGTGTAAACGCTGTGTAATGCAGGGATCAATTAGGCTTTGTGACTCCACCATCTTCATTTATAACAACCAGGACTATAGACACTGTTCTGCCAGTGGAGAAATTGAATTGAGCCTGATATTAATTTTCCCACAGTGACAAATGCCAGGTGCTTAAGTGGAGGGTGTAATATTTCCAAAACGGACTTGTCAAAAAATGCATGGCATGAGTGCTAAAGTACTACCAGGTTGGAAATGTCTCTCCAATTCAAGGCATTCGTGGTTGCCGTGTGCACATAAGCACTGCGTTTGCATTATTTTTGGTGGTGCCAAAATGGATCCAAATAGAGTTGTCCCTTCCATAGGATAGAGGAAAGCAACTTCCCTGAGCCCCATCCTTTGGGAAGCTCTGCACATCAGGGGAAAGGGGTCCAAAGTGGTCTGTGAGCTAGCAGGGAGCCTGGTTCTGGCAACTCCTGGCATCATTTGGGGGACAACACTGGAAAGACTCAGGGCATGGCCTTACAAAAGGGGGTGGCATGGGGGTGGGGAGAGGACAGGGCAGGGGCAGGAAGAGATAGAGCAGGGGCAAAAAGAGGTGGAGTAGGGCAGGCTAGGAGCCGGGTCACTCGCTGCTGCCAATGTCAGGCTCCCCACTAACTCTCCAGGCTGCCCTGGACCATGCTTCTCTATAGCGCAGGGCCCCTCAAAGCATGGGGCCTTGGCAGCTGCCCCAGTTTGTTCTATGGACAATATATAAGGCCAAACACTGGTGGAGCCAGGTCCACATTCCAGAATGTTGCTGGCGCATGGGCACCACAGGCCCAGGTATCTCATCACCTGTGGGCTAGTATCCATTTTTAATTTGAAGGCTAGGCTAAAGAACACCTCTTGGTGCACAAACTGATCCATGCTCCGTGCACTGGATACTGAACTGTAGAAATGTTTTTTAAAAAGTCAACTTTTTTTTGTCTCATGCTGAGATTTAGCATGAAAATTAATAACGCGTGTCCAGCCTAGAGGTCCCTCTCTCCGAGATAGCAGAAAAGGAATTCTGAAATGCCCAAGTACCTTCACCCAGAAGAGGCTGGCCCTCTATAGGTCATTAGCTGTATCAGGGAGCACTTTTCTAAAAACTCTGTCCATGTAGACCTAAAGTATGATATGGACTTCCCCGAGGTTACATTTTAGCATTCAACTTTCTCTTGTTAAATACAGTTGGGTAGTATTTTGATTGAATGTGTTTGTGCAGTCATGGTGAGTATAATAAAATAAACAAACCCTTATGTAATGTCATTTCACATTTGTTCTTTTCCCATTCAGGAAAGAAAACCAAAGGAAAAAGTGTGTGTTGCTTCCTAGAAGCAGGGACTTCTGAAGTGCTTGCAGGCAGTTATATTTTGAATATACACTGAGGCTTCGTCTACACTGTAGGGTTTTTGCGCAAAAACTTCTTCCACAAAAATGCATCCACACCTCAAAGTGCATCACAAAAGCGATGTGCTCTTGCACAAGAGAGTGTCCACACTGCATGTACGCTCTTGCGCAAGAAACCCCCGTGCTTTTCCCAGTATGGGTTTCTTGCACAAGAAACCCCCGTGGAACATCCACACTTGCCTTTTTGTGTAAGAACTCTTGCACAAAAAGGAGTTATGCCTCATGGGGAGAGGAATAACTCTACCTGCAAAAGCCCTCTCTTCTGCCAATTTACTTGCACAAGAACGTGCTTGAGATGTAGACACTCTGCGGGTTTTTGCGCAAAAACCTTGTAGTGTAGACGTAGCCAGAGTTTGTTAGTTTAGCTATTTAACCTCTTCACTGAATTCAAGGAATGAGGAGCATTCTCAGAAAATGCAGAAACTGCTCCAAAAGCTCTATGCTTCTAGTTATTTTATTCCACTGTAACTGGTTGCTGAAACTGAACAAACAGCTCCAAAAGCAAAATGTATGAAGATATGGGTTCTGCATAAACATACTGCAAGATAGTTAAACACAAATATTTAGGGCCTGATTCTTCATTGCCCTAGTTTACACCAGTGTGACTCCATTGATTTCAGTGAAGTTGCTCCATCATAGAACTAGAAGAACACAGCAGAGAATTAGACCCTAGTATGATGTTGTTTGAAAGTAAAATTATTATAAAGTGGATGGTTGTAAGAAAATGCATTTTATTTCTTATATTTTACATAGTTGTTATTTATACAGCACTTGCCCATTGGCATATTGCCTGCAGAGGAACAAGAACTCTTGCAAGCAGTTTGCAACTAGAAAAAAATGCCAGTACAAATGTACAGAGTACAAAATATTTACATTCCAACAGTTTTATTGTATTTCTAGTCATGTCTGTGTAAAGTCAATTGAGACCTTGGGCCACATCCTCATCTGGTATAACTGGCCTATCTTCATTGACACCCCATTCATTGGGGGGTGGGGGACAGAGGTTTCCCGTATGTACCTACTGGAAATCCGGCCCCTTATGTATTCTTTGCATGCCTACACAGAAGTAATTGTCTTATTCCTTAGTCGTATTTCTTTATACCAAACTTGGTCTTCTGCTTTATACTTATACTAAGAGTACAATTTTCATAATTGGAAAAAGTAACCAGTGCATTTTTACTGAGCACTTAAAAGTCACAGCCCACTATTATAATTATCAAGTTTTCTAACCACATAAACAGAAAAGCAAACTTCTCAGTTATTTGCAGTATTTTCTGTTCCACAACTTACAAAGATTGTCCAAGAATACAGGAAACTGAAGAAAAATTACCCAAGCTATTTAGACATGTGAGGTGATGTTTCTGCTGCTGCAAGATCCTATTTAGCAACAAAATGTGAGTATTTACGGAGAGCAGAATCTGCCAAAGAAGAGGATGGTCTTTGTTTTATTGTGCCTGATGAAGAAGAGAAAAGGGTGGTCTGCTACAAACTGAATGGCAGAAATGAGACTTCGTGACATCATAGCAGCTGAAGTAGCTGCTGCAGCCTCGGTGCCTTCTTCATTGATCTCCACAAAGCACTTGTGAAAAACATTTGACAAAACCAGATCATTTTTCTCAGACATCCCTCCGAAATCAGCTCGGCCCTCACTGAAAGCATCTCGCATCCCCATGCTGCTCAGAGTGGAGTTGAGATCATAACTCTCTTCCATTTTGATCCTGGGCAGATACACATCCACTTAAGTTTTCTCCATTGCTTCTGAGCTGGTCCATTTGGATAATGTCTCGTACGTCAAGTTTCTTTCTAGCTACAGGTAATTAAAAAAAGAGAATAAAAAAATTACATCAGGAATACAAAAATTCCTTCCCTTATTGAATACTTCCCTATATTGAATACCTTTGCTTCTGTTACATTACAAATATTTACCACCTGAGTCCTGTATTACATGATAGTAGCCCAGTTACTCTATTGTTGTATCTGATAGAGCCTTTGGCATGCTGGCTTCTCTGAATGCAAATGCCAGAAAAGTTCATTAGTGACACATATGTCTCATCCCTGCTGGTTAACCGAGTTGCTCTGAAGTGATCTATTTCTTTATTTAAAATATTTATTCTATGAAAATACATTTGAAAACCTGGCCACCTAGGGACTGGTTTCCTCAAGAGGGGAGCCAGAAAGGAAGCAGGAAGTAGATGGCATTTCCATCATCCCTTTTTAGAATGCAGCAGAACTTCCCCCATCAAAACTCCAATTAAAGTGAATGGGAGTCTTGCCTGAGGAAGGCCTGCAGGCTTAGTACATGGTTGCTGCAGGCATTACTGTCATAATAGATTAGTGCTGGGGAAACCTTCCCGGATGTAGAGATCAGATGTGAAGCATCCCCACCTTTGCTGGCTTTTTGTCAAGGGTTCTAATTGTCTCTGGCTTTGCTTGGGCTGAAAGAACTGCCTTTCTTGAAGGATTTTGTGACTTTGCTTTTAGGACTGGATGACAGCAAGAAGTGAAAAAAATTGCTCAGTCTATGACAATACTGTCAAAGTCCAAAAGGCTCAGACTCTCCGAGTATTAGACAACGTTTTGGATCTGTCTTTTTTTGCCGATCAGATCTTTTCACCCATTCCTAATAAAAGAATATAGTTTGACTTGCCATAAGACAGCGGTCATGTATACACCTAAGACAGAAAAATCAGTTGGGGGCTGCATACAAGTGAAAAGTTTAAAAAAAAAAAAAAAAAAAACTTCTCACTGACTGAGAAGAAGAAAGACACTCCCTACATTCCCCTTGCATAGCAGACCCTATGGGGGCCAAGGCTAGTAGATTTTGTGTGCTGTAGGGCTGGAGCTCTAGCATGGGTTCCCTATTGTTGGGGGTAACTTTGGGGGTCCAGATCCAGACCTGAAGTTCCCCACACCTTATCTAAGATATAAAAACAATTGAATTTCCCCTTTTAATATGATTTATTTCTTTACCATTTCTAGGCCAGTGGTATCATCATTGATGTCATCGGGTAGCAGTATGAGCATGCTGAGGTCATTATTGACATACGGAAGCTCAATGACGTGGGCATGCACTGTTTTTATGTAGTTCCAATTAAATTTTTCTCTCTGGCACATCATCTGCACTGGCTTACTTGTGTGCTGTAACAAGGCAAAGGAGGACAAATGGCATTTAAAAATTAGATTAAAACAATATGGTTTAAAATGTTACATTATCTTGCCTGTGTTACCTCCAACTAGACAGGTTAAATTTCATAGAACCAATTTCACGTTCGCTATTTATACTGATATTTCAATCTGTCAGTTTTAACACTGATGTTGTGCCTACACAACATTTTAAGCCCAGTTCTGAGCCTGGGTTAAAGCCAACCACCCTTTGTGTGCACACTGCAAATATGCTATCCTAGGGTATGTCTACATTGCATTCCTCCTTTGAGAGAGGAAAGCAAACGCAGACAAGCGAAATTGCAAATGAAGCGCGGATTTGATTTCTCCGTACGTCATTTGCATAATCACGGCTAGCCGTTTTCCCAAAATAGCATATTTTAAGAAAACAAACACAGTCACGCAGAGTTATTTCAAAAAGAAACCCTGATGAGTAAGGGTTATTTCGAAGGAAGGGTTTCTTTTCAAAATAACCCTGCATGGACCACGTTTTTCTCGAAATATGCTATTTCGGGAAAGCGGCTAGCCATGATTATGCAAACGAAGCATGGGAAATTCAAATCTGCGCTCCATTTGCAATTTCGCTTGTCAGCATTTGCATTCCTCTCTCGAAGGAGGAATACAATGTAGACATACCCTTAGAGCTCAGAGTCAGGCTCTCAGGATCCTGTTGTGCCACAGGGACCCAGCCCATAATAAAGTGGAACCTAGGGTAGGATTACAGACTTTCTTCTCACCTACAATTGAATAGACTTGCCCAGCTCCCTGCCCCACCCCATTGCTGAGGCCCTCTCTCTGTTACTTGCTCTCCCCACCCTTATGCACTTGCTCATTTTCACCAAGCTGGCTGCTGGTATTTGGTTGAAGGAAGTGGTGAGGGCTTCAGCTTGGAGGTGTAGGCTTTGGGATGGGGTCAGAAATGTGGAGATCAGGTTGTGGGAGTGGGCTCCTGGTTGGTGGCTGAAGCTGAGGGGTTTGGAGTATGCCACTGGGCTCAGGAAGGGATTAGAGTGTGGGAGGGGATGTAGAGGCTCAGAGCTTTGGGTCTAAGTTCTGGAGTGGAGCCAGAAATGAGGCAGTACAGAGTGTGTTTTGGGGATCCAGGCTGGGGTACAAGTGTGCAATAGGGTTGAGTGAGGACAGAGCAGCCAGGCTGGAGTGTGTATTTTTCTTCTGGTACCTTCATTTTGTGTCAAACTTCAAAACAGACAAAAATAAATAAAAGAAACAAACAAATAATAGCACAAAGCATCTCCTTTGAAACATTAATAATTGCAAAGCTTTGTTATAGTTTGACAGCCCTGGAGATCGATGCCCTAATTCTCCTCAGAACAGGTGCACACGGGCGTTTTCCTGTAACTGTGACTCAGCTTACAGTTGGAGAGTCCAGTTCTCAGACTAGATGGTAGTTCTGTATAAAGTAGGGGTGGGGAACATTTTTTGGGTCAGGGGTCACTGACCCACATTAAAATCAGCAGGGGACTGCTCGCAAGTGAGAAACAAAAAAACCCCACCCCTCACCAATGTGGGCTCCCCAATGCTGGAGTGGGAGAGGGGGGAAGAAGAACCCTGGGCCTTAGGGACCAGATCCAGGCAAGCCAGATGCTGCATCTGGCTCCCAGGGGAAGAAGAACTCTGGGCCTTAGGGACCAGATCCAGGCAAGCCAGATGCTGCATCTGGCTCCCAGGCTTTAGGTTTCCCACCCCTACTATAAAGCTTTCTCAGACTGCATCCATTTTACTGACAGCTGCCAAAGGAGCTCACTATGCAGCTGATGTACTCCTATATGCCTTAGGGGTACCTGAGGCCCATCAGTGACACACCCACAGTTAGGAAACTGGGCAAAAGGCTCAGGTGTCAACAATGGGGACATTCGTCACTTTGGGAAACATTTCCCTTGGCTCAGGTCTGTATGGTGATTTGTGGATGTCAGAGCCTTAGGTGCAAGGGTCAGAAAATTCTTAACCTGGGGCTAAAACGTAATGTGGATGCCAAGCACAGGTTCTCTGACACAGTTCAGTTGATTTGAGTCCCACGAATCCTAAGCTGATGTGGCTGCGTACACGCAGGGTGGCCGACAGACTTGCCAGGCCCCATGGCAAGGTAGGGGCAGCAACACTGCACACCCAGAAGGGGCGAGGGAGACGAATCCTCAGTGCCATTCAGAGCACGCCACACCCCTCCGCCCGGCACACTCAGAACTGCCTTGAGCATGTTCTGGCGGCAATTTAAAGGGCCTTTGCTCTGGTCACCACTTCTGTTGAAGCGGTGGCAGATGGAAGCTCTGGGCCTTTTGAATCACTGGGCCCCAAAGCAGTTGGCACTGAGTCAGCAAGCCTGAGCCTGAGCCCAGTTTCACTTGTATACTGTGTGTTCCTCTCTGTGTTCACTGACTATGGCGCGACTGAGCTCTCTCCCTAGCCTTGTTCCTTGTCCCAGCCCACTAATATATATGACTTAGGGTTTCTGTTCACTCCCTGTGGGGCACCTGGCATTGGCCACTGTCGGTAGACAGGATTCTGGGCTAGATGGACCTTTGGTCGACCCAGTATGGTTGTTCTTATGTCATGTCATGGCTTAGTCACATACCTTGTTCATTCTGAAAGGTTGCTTTTTTGTAAATTCATCCTTAAATTTCTTTGCCCAGTTTCCTTTGAAGTAGAGAGCATTGACTAGGACCAGCTTGGTGAGTGAATCAAGAGACTTGGCAGGCAATAGGGCCTGGATTTTACCTTTAGGAAACAGTGAAGACAGTCATATATGTGTACAGCTTTACAGCTTGAAGTAAATGTAGGAATCGAGTTTTGGAATATCCACTGTTTGAGACAATAATTGTAAGATAACTAAAGAGACTATTGTGAAATATCTTCAAACACTGGGCTGGAATCTGTGGTTCCCTTTAGTAACTTTGCCCTATTCCGCCTGCTTCTCACTTTTAATAACCCAGTGGATAGTCTTAATCAAAATTCTTCCTAGAGACACAGAAAGAAAATGGAAGTAAAAAGGAAGAAGTTGGGATGTGTCAAAATTAAAACAAAAATCGAGTGTGACTTCCCAGAGAGGAAACTAATTTTATGGGAAACTTACAGATACAGTGGTGAGTATGGCCTACACATGATAAAAATACAGTATAACAATGTAAGAGGCTCAGAGCTTATCACACTGGCTGCAGAACCTCAAGCTGGTGCTGGAACTTCTTCGCCCCTTTCTATTTTTGGAAAAATAAAGGCCTACTAACCCCTCACAGGAAATTCAGCAGAATGTGCTTTTTCTGTTAACAGCTGTCCTTTTTCATCTGACTGTTTCAAGACACTATTTACGACAGATAACGAACCCACACATACACTCTGCATGGTGCCCAAACACAGTGAAACCCATTTTGCTATGTAAGTATTTATATCAGGTTCAATACTTGGGTATCTTATTGCTTTCAAATACATAAAGGTTACATTACTATAAATATTTGTGGAAATGGAAAGCAGTCGTCATCTTTGTTTTTTCCCTGTAATAGAGGTAGTGTTAAAACTGAAAGGAGATGTCATTTTGTATTCGGTGTTATTCAGCCTTTAAATGTAGTTATCTGCCTGCCTCCAACTATAACAATGAGGCAGTCTTCATTTTGTGTTTCAGTTCAAATACAGTGTGTTAGAGTATGAATCAGTGTTTCCCTCTTTCCTTGTAATCAATTTAGAATGGGAAAATCAAGGTGACTAGTGTTTGCAGGGTGAGGAAGTGCAGGGAGGGCTTCTGGACTGCAAATAGGGGCACCGTCTTTAGAAATTAAAAATTTAGCAGGTTCATAGTGCGGCAGTGCACCCCGCATGGGCAACCACTAGTCACCTATGGGAAAATATACGCTGTTCTGTTTGAAAATGGTAAAATAACAGTCTTGAGCTCACCTTCAGTCTGGCATTCTACACTGGAATTGATCTCCTTCCTGACTTCTTCTGCAGCTCCCAAGAAATCAACAGCTCGTGGCTCTGTGCGGTAATACTTTTTGATTGATTGTAAGTATTCCTTCAAGGCCAGAGAGAGGAAAAAGTCTTATATATTATTTGACAATACAGGTTGAACCTTTCTAGTCCAGCACCCTCAGACTCTTACTGGTGCCAAACTAAACAATTTGTTGGACCATGGGAAGTCAATATTGGACTCTGACTGGTGCCAAACTAAAGAATTTGTTGGACCATGGGAAGTCAATATTGTCTAGCAGCATTACCAATGTTTCCACTGCTTCGTGGTCTCAGAAATTAAGGGGCAAATTAGAGCTAAAGAACAGCTCACAACACTGAGAGTCAGGACTGATGGCTGTAAAAAAACTTTATTGGACTGCGGGAAACTTCACCACACCCAGGTAAGTGGACATTCAGCCAACTAAAATCATGCTGGACCACAAATGTTGCTGGACTAAAGAGGTTCAACCTGAATATATATAGGCCAGCTACTGCCAGACAGAAAAGGGAGTTCATATGATGACACATTTCACTGTTATGACACATCTACACTTGTGAGATTGACCCTCAGGAGGTTATGTTCTAGCGTTCAATTTAGCAGGTCTAATATAAATTGAATGCTAAGGACAGCTTCTACTGGCGTCTGGTATACCTCAAGGAGAAAGTGAAGCCAACGGGCGCGTATGCTCCCATCAGCCTCCTGCTGTGTGAAAGTCACCACAACTCAGCTTAACATAAGCCACCTCCAGCTACTTGTTTTGTGTAACTGGAGTTGTATATCTTAAGCCAGCCTGCTGGATCTAGTATAGATCAGGTCTAGGAGCATAAAGCTCTGTGTTCAAAGAAGAAAAATATTTGTAATTAAATATGTTATCAATCATTTATTCATCAATGATTGTTTATGTTCATATACAGTACAATCCAGAAAATGAGATTAAAGGTACACATGTCATCTTTATCTGAGTTTCTATTAAGAGTCAATGGGAAATAAATCCTAATGGATAATAAACCATTTTGCAGATATAATTTTAAAAAATTGGTATGTAGGTCTTATATGGTTTGTACCAATCATAAAGACTGTATCTCAATTAAACAAACTGATGAACTGCTTCACTTACTTTACTGAGAGGTGATGATCTCTCTCCATATAACTGGCTGATACTTTTAAGCAGGTAAGTTTTAGTGGGTTGGTTAATTTCAAAGCTAAGTGCCTGAAACCCTGCATGGATGTTGCTTGAGTTCTCCACATTGGCCTTGACAGAAAGAAAAAATATTCTGGTTATTCATCTATGATTTCTGGGGTAAGTGAGTCAGAATTTTTAATCTTATATATTGCACATAATTTCTCCAGTGACAGTTGCCTGTAATATCCTGTACAGTTACTCAAGTAATTGCTTGTTAACTGTGTTTTGATGTGAATGAGAGGCACTAAACTTAGCAGTAAAACTCCAAATATGGTCACACCACCAATACAGCACGAACAAGAGAGAGTAATGTAAAAGACTTAGGTATAAAGTTATTTTAAAAGATTGTTAAAAAAACAAAGCCTACTCACAGAGATAGCAATAGTACATTTTCTGCACAACGTGTAAAGACTTAGCTATGTGATGCTCATGCTGGAGAATGCACTGATTCATCACAACTGTTAAGCAGGATCCACTGTTGGGGTTACTATGTAACCAGCCACACTTTAAAGGTTCTGGTTCCTTGGGTAGGGTTTTAATGACAAGACCAGTTCTCCTCCTCCCTGGTGGGAGCCTAACAGAGTTGCAGCAGACCCTATTGGCATAGCGGGCTCTCCCTGGACCAACAATAATGAATCAAGCACACACTATCTAACAGGATAATGACTGATAAAGGTCTACTAACGGTGCCGAAGAAATATTCTCCAACAGGATTCTAAAGATATTTTATGCCCATTTGCATCCAGCCCCCCACATACTTTAATCTATATCAAAACTTTAATCTATATCAAAACATTTCAACACATCAATGCATTTCATCAGCATTGTCACTGACTCTTAGAGTAACCCTCCTTGTGAAAAGTCTCACCCACATGTCTCCTGTATGAGCCAATAATTTAATTTCACCCAGCACTGCAATTACATGTGTGAGAGTAGCCATGATGTTATTGTCAACACAGATTGTGTCTTTAACCATGGAGAGCACACTTTAATATTCACTAGTTAGTAATTTAACAATGACAAGAAAGGGAAAAGCTCCCACAAATTAAAAAGAGAGAAAGGCAAAGAAACATGGATAATGGGGGCAGCTCTGCTGAGTCCCTCGCATGAGGAAATACAAATCACACCTTTTGCAATTAAAAATAAAAAGGAAATGGCGTCTCTCTTATTGTATTGGGGAAAGTATTATAGGAAATCGCTCTGAATACCATGCTCATTCATTGTGTACATTTAACAGGAAAAAGGCAAACCAAAGTGTATTCAAACAGGAAAGGCAGTCTGAAAGAAAGATGAACGTGCCTATAGCTAATAGCTTGGACACGTTGGTCATTTGTTTTGGGGAGATACCTTTTTATTAGTGATACGTGGATATGTTAGAAGCTCCTCCATTTTGGAATAGGCTCGTCGTGGTTTTATGGTTGCAGCTCCAGCTCCTCCAACTTTGCTAAAGTGAAGCACCTACAATTTGAATTGCAAACAAAATAGCGGCAGTAAGAGACTGATCATGGTTTATGTAAGATTTTACAGTTAGAGCAGAAGACTCGAGGTCAGGAGACCTGGATCTTGGTTCTGTTCTTGCCTCTGCCCAACTTGCTATGTGATCTTAGGCTAGTCACTTAGAGTACCACAGTTAAACTGGGGATCAACTGATTCGGGCTTCCAGAGTTTGGGCTGCCTGGCTGTATAACTGCTGTGTAGACATTGGGGCTTGGTTTAGAGCCTGAGCTCTGGGACCTGTAAGGGATGGGGGTCCCAGAGAAAAGGTTCCTATCCGAGACTGAATGGGTCTTTTATCGCATTGCAGATGTAAGCTGAGGGATTGATCCAGAGAAATCAAGGGGAAAACTGTCCATTAATTTCAATGGTCATTGGCTTTGGCCTTTAGTTTTGGCGATCAGCACCTCTTGAATTCATACCCCCATTTTACCTTTTTGTAAACTGGGGATAATGATGTTTAGCCATCTTTGGAAATCCTTGGACAAAAGAAGCAAAGTAACTCCCAAGTATAAGACACTCAACCTCAAAAAATATTTAGTTCTTTCTTTGTCCGAAAACGTGGATATCTACTGTTCTGAGTTGCAGAACAGAAAAATGTAGTGTTCCGTTGGCAATGCTCTGCCCTGTCTTCACATAGTTCCTAGAAGTAACTAGCATTTGGCTCTAGCTCCTAGGTGGAGGGGGGTGGCCAGGGAAGCTCCATATTGTGATCCCATCCTAGCACTGCTTATGCAGTTCCCACTGGCTGGAAACTGAAGCCAAGGGGAACTGCAGGAACAAAACCTACAGGCATGAGCAGAGCGTACCCTGCAGAGATGCCTGGATTTAGCAGCTTCAGGCACATGCCGGCTGCTTCCAGGAGCAATATGTGGAGCCAGGTCAAGTAAAGAACCTGCCTTTGCCCTGCTGCATCACCAACCAGGAGGTGCCTGACGTAAATGCTGCCAGGACGGAGCCTACACCACAAACACCCTCTCCCCAGTCAGAAGCCCCTCTTGCACGCCAACTCACTCCCAGCCCACACCCCAATTTCCTGCCCAGCCCAGAGCCTCCTCCTGCATTCTGAACCTCTCATTTCAGGCCTTAACCCTGAGCATTCACCCACATCTGAAGTCTTCACCCCCTCCCATATTCCAACCCTCTGCCTCAGCCCAGTGAAAGTGAATGAGGGTGGGAGAGTGAGTGATGGAGAGTAAGGGGGGGACTGTGAGAGGAGGCAGAGCAGGGAGCTCAGGGCAGGGAAAGGGGCAAGTGTGTTCAGCTTTGTGCAATTACACAGTTGAGAACCCTGATGCCAGGATTACCTGGGATGGGGGATGGGAGGAAGCTCGCTCTTACTCCTGCTGCACCTTTCCCAGCCCTTCCAACCTAGCAGCCAGACCTGGGCAGGGCTATTTCTCACATCAACTGGCAATTGAGAGACGCTGTCTCTGTGCAGCGTGGCAGGTGTCTGAGTGAGGCCTGGCTAAGGAGGCAGCGGCTCACTCCCCCCTCTCCCTGCCAGGGCCTAGCTGTGGGGAACAGGAGCTAAACCAGGGCCCCCGGTCATGTTTCTATCTTGCTTGGCCTCTAGGCCCAGCATCTGGGCCTAAACCCTGAAGCTCTGAATTCAGTAGAGCTTCAGTGGAATCAGCTGGTGAAAGAAGGTGACTCCCTTTCTGCCCAGGTCTGGCACCTGTGAGGGGTCCAGTGAGCTGGAAGTGCTGGGGGAGAGGCACAACAGCAAAAGGACAGTGAAACCTGTCCCTGTTGCCAAAATCCACTCCCTCTTGGGGTCCTTCAGAGAGCCTTTGAGGAGCAATAGAAAGACACTTGGATGTGAATACCAGCTATTTGAAAGATGAGAAGGGGAAGGAGTGAGTATCACCCTCATAGTTGACCCCATCATTTTATATGTATGTTGGGATTATGTTTTCCAGTGTGCATTACTAGTAGAAATTTTCCTTCTCTTATAGTGACTGACAAAATCATGTGTTGTGCTTGTGTTTCTCCTGTATGAGGCTACAAATGCAAGTCAAAGCCAAGGACAGACTCTGCATTTGCTATCTTAGCTGTTCTCTTATTTCCCCTTTTGTTTATATTGGTCTTATTTTGTCTTTTAGGAAACAATAAAACTCCAGCCTCTCTCAGCAAACTTCTCTTGTTCCCAGAAAGACAGTACTATCTTTAACAACATCTAAAAACTGTCAAACTAGGGTGGTTCTTTCTACAGAACTATTGTACAATGCATAGTACTCAGTAACAGTGGCATTTCTCCAAAGATGACATACTGTAGTCCCAGCTCACCTCTGCCATCTGAGCTGCTGTGTTGCCTTTGGCTCCAAGGTACACCGTGGCCATGACAGATGAAATACTCCAAGGGGAAAACAAGATATTTGTGCTGGTTTGTGTCTTGCACTCATGCTTGAAAAGGTTGAGGGCAAAGCCAGTGTTTACTGCATTCAGAGCTTCCATTATTTGAAACCTGGAAAGTGAGAGAAAAGAAAACACCTCTTCAGCGGGCAGCTCGTTGCAAAATGCTAGTGATTGCTGCCCAACCCTATTTCCTACTGAAGAAGCTAAAGTGGTTTGAGAGCTGAGAGCTAGGGTTGTTGTTTTTCTTTTTATACAGGCAGCTAAATGGTGGTTTGGACCTCAGCATGTCACATTTTTCCCTTATTTGTGTTACTTTATAGAGACCTTTCTGAAGTATGTTTGAAGCCTTTCCTCTTTAGAAGGCCTTTGGTACAGCGTATTGATCCCACTTACAGATGTGACACAAAAATATCTTGTGGTAATGAGTTCTGCAGGCTTATTATGCACTGTGTGAAGTATTTTCTTTTGTTTCGAACTGAAGGAAGCTCTGGGAGTTTGAGGAATGCATTTCAGCCTGCCAGGAATCTATGGGCTGCTCACTTCAACCGTCTGTTGTTTGTTATTCATAGTACATGATTGCCCATCTAAGTCACATGTAAGTTTTTACTCCTTGATTGTACAGTGAATACTTGCTCATCTGTGAAATAGGTAGATACCCATAGAACCACTTCTCTCTTATAATAGAAAAACAAAGGACCATGGAATATAATTGAATGGTAATAAATTTAAATTCATAAAGGGGAAAAAACCTTTATACAATGCACAAATCTATCCATGGAATTCATTACCACAAGTACCTCTGAGTTATCAAGAAATTAGCAGAATTCAAGAGAGAATTAGATGTATGTATAGTTAATTAGAATATTAAATAATTATTTTAGCCATGATAAAATATTGTAACAGTTGCAGCCATATATAAAGAACCCTGAGTGGTCAACTAACTTGGTTAGGGGAAAAAAGGGGGGGGGGGGAAGAGACTCCTCTATGGCAGATTACTCTATTGTTGGCCACTGCAGGACTTCCTATGCCTTCCTCTGCAACATCTGGTATTAGCCACAGCTAGAGACAGCGTACTGGACTAAATGAAGCTGATATATTTGTTTGTATGCACAAACAATAATCCCTCTGATGGGTATGGTTGTAAATAAGGAATAAATCAGAAACAAATATGGTCAAATTGATCAGCCCTTCAGAAAACATAGAAATGTTTCTGAACGCTGCTATTTTGAGCAAGGTAGTCTGCCAACTAATATGTGTCAAATTCCTGTCTTGTCTTTCAAAAATCACCTGAAATCCTATCTCTTTTGTGATACTTTCCAGATTATTTCCCAGTACTTTATTCGAAACATTTGTTTTTCTGTATGGTACTCATCATGCATATCAAAAGATATCCAGCTCTTCAGGGCAAAGATTCCTTTTGGGTGCGGAGGGGGTTATTATTTGTAATACCTTTTGAAGCCCTACATATGAAACAGGACCTCATTGTGGTAGTTACAGCACAAATTCTGAGTAGGCAACTTACAGTCTAGGTGAGCATGGGTTTGATTTACATAACACTAGAATACAATAAATGTAATATATACACGGAGCCATGTTCTGCCATGGTTAATGCATCGGTCATTGGAGTTGCATAAAATATAAGCAGGTTTGGAAGTATTAGATAAACATTGATTTCACTGGAAGAAGCGCACACTGCTGAGCAAATATTTCTATCGATCATAATCAAAATTACAGAGAGGCAAAGTAAGAAAAATGCTGCCTGGGAACTTACTAGAGTATGAATCCAGTGATCTATACTTTTAAATTAGGCTTGTTACAAATGAACTGTAAAAGGAATAAGAATATTGACTTTGTATATTTCGATGTTGATAATTTGTATATTTAAACAGTTTAGAGAACAGTTGAATCACAACATCTACTGTCATTAAAACATTTTCTGACTGACCCTCAATTTCACTCAACTCTGACAATATAAATAACATTCTGAAAAACTGACATTGACAATATCCAACTCAATTATTTTAAAACATTCTTCCAAATCTATGTAGGTCACAGTAGAATTTGACCTTTCTGTATATTTTTCTGTAAAGTTTAATTTTAAACTTAACTGTCTCTTTCAGACAGTGTCTCCTGTCACATTACAATATATTCCTTATTATATTGCTTGCATTCAAATCTGCTCGATGTATACTTTCTATGCATTTGCTAACCACCACAGTGAATCCAGGAGAATGAAAATGTGAAGTCAATAGAAATAATTAAAGTACCTTGTTCTGCTTGAGGATGAAGTCTGGCACTCAGTGTATTTCTTGGCTTGCTTCTATTCACAGGCATGGGAAGCTGAATATATAGTGTTTCTTTCAGCCCTCCCTCAGAAAGCTATCCAATGCGTCAGAATGTTGCAGTTTAGTTTTGCCTAAAGGGAATATCTCTAAGGAAGCACTCGCCCTTCTCATAAGAGCGGATTGTGAAGGGTTGGTGGGAATGACATCAGTACAGGACTGGCTGCCACATTACTACTACAGGCATTTCATGGGAGCAGGCTAGCAGTGACTTGCACCAGCAATACTTGACCAAAGTGTTGCTTTGAAATGTGTCAATTTCCACATAATACTATATGTGATCGTTTTCTCCCATGAGGTCATCAGTAAATGACCTGCAAAGGAGCGATATGTAGAAAGGGCTTGTGCCCTTTTTACTGCTTCATTATGTATGAAAAATACATAGAAGAGTGCTTGTTAAGGCTTTCAAAGGAACACCTATATTATAAATATTTGCTTTTTCATATTGTTAGATACTCAGTCTTGTCTACCTATAGCATGCATAGAACCAGTGAATTTATAACATCACAGGAAAGCCAAGGGGCAGAAGGTTGATGAATAGACAGGGATTTTTCATCACCCAGGTGACTTAAATCCCTCCCTGAGACAAGGGGCCTTGCTGGCTGACCCCGTGGTTTGTGCTAAGTTGCTTCATCAATCTAGAAATCCAGGCTTCTTTACCCAACAAGAAGATGGTGGGATCCTTTCCCAAGCTCATTCCAGGCAAAGTGTGAATGAGCCCATATCACACTGTGCCACTGCAGAGCATCTATTAGCATCACGGGTCACAGTTATGCTTGCACTTTGGAAAGTTATGCATACCTTGTTTTGTTTGTCATTCAAGAGACATAATTTAGCTTGTCATCTTCATAAGCCTTCCTCACTCATTGGGTGAATGGCAGCTGCACACGTACATTGTAATCCGGGGTATTATAGCAAAGATGTTATATCTTTCTGGTACTAGGGAAATAGTTGTGGTGAATTGTGGTTAAATTAAGGCTTTCTGTATATAATTTCTAAGTAACCCAATATTTTTAAAGCTATCTTCTATTAGATCCTGATCTCCTGTAAGATGTAATCAACTAGCAGTGTATATGTGTTACACCCAAAATGATACTCAAGTAAAAGTGCAATATACATTACATCAGTAAGATGGGATGAGCGGTTGTCCAAGGAAAACACAAAAGCGAGTAGGAAGTGATGCTGCTGATTTGGTAATCGTGGCACTTTTCTCTCTAAACTAATGCTAACTAAAGGAAGCAGCATGTTGTTGGGAGATACTGTATTGGTGGAGGCGCTGTCTTTCCAAAGGGATGTAAATATCAGGGATTGTCTGCTGTAGTCAATCAAGCTTCTGTTGCACTCTATGCAGAACTAATATCGTCTGTTTCAGTGCCCCGGCAAATTTCCATTTTATAATGACATTCTGCCTGCATCTCCTCCTGCAAGAATTCAGCATTTTTCTTCACTTCTGTCAGCTGTTCAGTGTTTCTTTCTAAAGAGAAATGAGTTTGTGTCCAGAATTGAGGCAAAAATGGATCTTCTGTTATGAGGATTCTTCTCTTCCTTCCCCCCAGTCTTGTTCAACTTTTTCAGATTGCTGAGGGGCTAAAAGTTTCCCTGGCTACTCTCTGCCAATAAATGACTTGGCTTCTGAAATTTTTGCTAGACTCTGCATGGTTGTTTGTGACTCTTATTTGGTTACAAACACACTTATTCCAGTGAAAAACCTTGTTCATTCAGAACTCTCAGAATAAAATGATTTGGTCCATTTTTTAATGTATTTTTCAGATTTTTCTTAGGTCACATCTACACTGCATGGCTAATCTCGAAATAAACTACTCAACTTGAGCTATGCTAATTGCCAGGGCTTGACAAACCGCTGAATCTACTCACCCGTGGTGAGTAGATTTCAGCCGGTCGCTCCGAGTGGCGCATGCACAGTGCCAGTCTGGCGCATGCTCAGTGCGGGGCTGGCGAGTGGCTTTTGCCAGGGTTTGTCAAGCCCTGCTAATTGCGTAGCTCAAGTCAAAAGCGCCAAAAGTCAAAATAAGCTATATCTACACAGCAGCTATTTTGAGAGAGAGCACTCTTCCCCCCCGACTTCCCTTACTCATCGTACAGTGAGGGTTACAGGAGTCAGAGTAAGCAGTTCTTCATCTCCGCATTATTTCAACATTATGTCAACATAGCTGCTTGTGTGTAGATGCGGATTATGTTATTCCGACATAAGATAAGTATCAACACTGCTGTGTAGATAAAGCCTTAGATTAAAAGAACAAACCATGTTTGAAAGAAATGAGTGATGAGTAGTCTTCAAGCATCAAAAACTTCTTCATGACAATGAAGCATGATTTCTTTGCTCAGTCAAAATTTAATTAAAAAGGGCAATATTTATATGTAGGGGAGCCTTTTGTTTGAAATTATGTTTATGAATAAACAGAAAAACCTATTTTATTAAACCCTCCCAAAAAGTGTTTAAGCCACATATAAACTGTGCTTCTTTGCTAAATATACACACCTTTTGATCTTGTACTTACAAAAATGCAGTCCCAGTGATGATGATGACGTCAGGAAGCCGTCTTCAAATTTTCCAGTTGACTTGTAATGCTAAAGATATGAGGGAGAGCCTGAGTTTCTCAGTAACAATGCATAGTAACACTGAAACACGTTGTGATTAATGATAGGTTTATAGGTAATAGTGTGTAAAGAAACTTTACTCACATTCTTTTGATGTCACAGGGTGTGACTTTATACCACTGCCTTGCGCCTGAATCAGAAAATTCTCTGCTTCATGTTACATTCTTGTAATGGGTTCTAGGAACTTTTTTCTGGAGAACATGAATAATAATGCAGCTTGGTAGCAATGCACTAATGTGCAAGAGTAGGGTTCTCTGGGGGGCCTTTTGTTAAAACTTTGCTTTTTTAACACTTGTGAAAATGTAATAGTTTTGCCTTTTTGAATGGACCAAATTTTATCAAACTGCTGGTATTTTCCAAAATTC